CTATCAAAATTTCAAGCCAATTACATCGTAAATCGGTACCCATTTGTCGGTTTGATGAAACTACCGTAACTTTTTCAAAAATCAAATTTTTTACTCTCTTGTTTGCTCTATCTCATGTTTTCCCTTATTTTCTTTGAAGTGTTTATATCACCACTTCAAATAGCAATCAAAACCTACTTATTCGAGTTTTGGACCTCAATTAATAAGCTTTTTTCCACATAAGGAATGGTTTAGCCCAACACTAACATCTATGTTTAACATCTCTTCTCCGTAACTATGTTTATTTATTTTTTCGGTATTATCGAGCAACATCAATCAATTAAAAAAAATTAAAATAGTATGTTTTTTACTTTTCCAACATGTAATTTTACATTCATTTGTATTGTGAATTGGACTTTGTGCTATATTGTTCATCAAGGTTAAAACAATATCGTTTCATATTATTTTGATGTGAAACAATGTCGTTTTCAAAAAATAAAAAATAAAAAAGTGATTTTTTCGAATTTTTTTTCACTTTAGTTCTTAGAGTTTGATAGTTGTAATGAATGATCTCCGAGTTTTTTTTGTGTTAGATTTAAATTCTTAAATGTACGGGGAGGAGAGAAAAGTCAAGAGAAGAGGAGAGAGAAATTTTTGACAAATTACAATTCGAGCATATGATCCGACAATATTGGTGTCGATATATTTGGCTTCATGATATGAATTTGTTAATGATGGTTTTGGACAAATGATTGAGAAAAGGAGATTGAGTCTTAAAAATAAATTGAGTTTTTAATTTGATTCGATATTTTTGAATTTCTATAGTAGATTTGACCATATTTTGATGTTTAAAATAATTTCTAATGCTTTTTGGAATTATTCTAAATTGCTTTTCGATCAAATTGGTGTAGAAAATGGGTGTTGGAAGGGCAAAATTATAACGTCCATCGCCCAAGATGTCTTACCCGAAGGGTTACGACCCGAGGGATCACTACTAAGACTTATCTATTGTCATTATACTTAAATCTTATTCCCAAATTAATCTTATTCATCATTAAGTATATCAATTGAAACTTGTCATCAATAATATAACTACATGATCATCTTATTAACAAAGTAGAAGTATTTCGTTAAAATTTTATTGATACTTTATTTTCACATCATTACCATAATTCATCATGAAATTTCAAAATCATCCTTCATGATTGTTCAAACATTCATAGTGCTTTTAAAATTCTCTTACTCATTTGGCTTGCTAAAAGATGCTAACCTAATGCACCAAAGCCCTTAAGTTTGACTCTTCCTTAGTAGGTGAGTCATCTCATTGTGGCCACTACACTAGTATATAGTCTCCATGAAACATGCTTGTCACATTAACCTCGACATCTAACAATCAAGTCTCGACCTTCAAGCCTCGACATTTAACGAGTCAAATCTCAATTTTTGAACCTTAACATTTAACGATCAAATCTCAACCATTAAACCTCAACATTTAAGCTTCAATAGACAACCTCATCATTTAAAATCTCAACAACTAATATTTACTTTTAACATTAAAATCTCAACATGCATTCAAAATATTTTCTATCATAAAACATCATTTACATACGCACCTCGTTCATTTACTTAAAATATTTTATTTTATCATGGTCAACAAGTAAAATATGTGTATGTATATGAGTGCACTTCAAAACATCATTCACACTAAACACATAGCATTTACATTCATAGTATAAGTGAGTTATACTTACTCGATTCGCTTAATTAAAACAACTATTTATCGTAATCTTTTTCTAATAGGCAATACCTCGACTCGATTCAATACCTTGAACATACACATCATACAATTCAACATTTGATCTTTACATTATTTGATAAATATATAATAAATTTCAATTATTAAAAATCAATATTAAGAATTACATTGATGAGAAATAAAAAACATAACAATCAAGTAAAAAATAGTAAGGTTTTTTAATGGATAGTTATGAACTCGTGTTTATTAAAATTAAGCACACTTCTAATATAGTTTCATTGAACGCCCTTTCATTATTGATGGTTGTCTTCTTCTAATTATATATTCTCTTAATTATATTTTTAAGTTATTTAAATAATTATTTATATGTTTGCATTTTTTAATTTATCAAAATAAACATATTCATAAAATATATTTAATTTCTAAAAATATAAATTCACATGATATTAAATACTACAACATATAAGTTAAATTACAAAATTTCATTCATCTAAATTTTCAAAATCAGTTAAAGCTTGTCACCGGACAGTAGACTCGTTTCTTACAAAATAGTTGGTGCATCTCTCTCTCTTTTCACAAATGCAAATGCAACAAAAGTAAGCATCAGCTGGTGAGCTTTCAGCCTCTAGCTAGTCTCATGACGTAATGACCCAATAATGCACAACTGATCATGGGTCTTGTAAAAGTTGATTAAACTGACGATTTTAGATGATGGCTTTACAAAAGTTGATATGGAATCTCCAATTTGAAGAAAAATCACCTCTTTGAATGATTCTATACTCCGTCCAGATTTTACAGCTCAGTACAATTCAACAACAGTTAATTAGTTGTACAATCCAATCAATTGAATATACAGAAGTAGAAGAAAAAAACTATATCAACAAGATCGTTAAAAAAATTTAATCGAATTACTATTTTTTTATTCTAAATGATAAAAATCATGTTTTCTTATAAAGCGAAGATTTTTTTTTTTTAATACTAGGATATGAGTGATGGAATTTCTAACTCAATAATGGTGTAAAAAAACCTTCGAATTTTTACAAATAATTAAATAATAAAAATCACGCATAATCATTCTAGTGTATTTTTACTTTTACTATTGGATATGGTTTATCTTCTTGTCGGCAAATATGCATACGTGGGATCATATCTTCTTTGAAATTATTTTAAAAATATATTTTTTTATATTTATTTAGTAAAATTTTCAAAAATAAATTTCTACGGGTCTTAGTCTAAAGACTTGGACTTTGAAAATAACAAGAAGAACACATCAAATTCACTGTCAATTAGTCAAATCCTAAAGATTGTGCCTATCATTGTTTTTTGAAGCGAATTTGTATTTATCTAACTATTCTAGTACGCTTTTATTTAACTCGTTAAGTACTGTTTTACGATTTTTTTCTCTATCTCCGTAAAGAGGGAGTGATTAATAAATTAGCTCCTCTTGTTTTAATAAATGAATGAATTAATTTTTTTATTTTTAAAAATTAATTATTTAATCCTTTTAACTAGTATTAACATAATAACTTATTTAATATTTTTATTTTATAAAATATATTATTTTTTATTTTTACTTATTTTTTATTTTTATTTTTTTTAAATAAAAATAAATTAAAATATAATATAAAAATTAAATAATTAACTTTTGAAACAAAAGATACTAATTAATTTACTTCTCTAGACGAAAGAGACTAATTTATAATTTATTCCATCAAGAGGACATATAAGATTATTTTATATAGTAATTAAGAAAGAGAAATTTTATAATATATTGGAAGTAACTAATGATATATACGGTAGTTATTCTATTGATCCACTTTAAAGATAAAGATAAATACAAAAAAAGAAAAATTATATCTATACCTAACAAAAATGATAAGAAGATTTTCACATTTGTTCAAATTTTTTTATTTTTTATTTTTATGTCTATCTTTACTCAAAATAAATCTATGAAGTCACTAGTTATTCCTAATATATTATAAAATTTCTCATTAAAAAATGGCGTAAGTTTGTAATCTACCATCCCTGTTTAACGCGTCTTGTCAGTGACGTCGACGATGTTTATTTCTTTTTTCGTCATGATTAGGCAAAATCAATCAATTTGTTACTAATATATAGTCTTTCACATGTGCAAATGCAATAGCAGTAAGCATCAGCCAATGACCGTTCAATATCTAGATAGTCTTAGCCCTTTTGACCCAATAATTCACAAAGGTTAATGGGGTCTTGTAAATATATATTAGTAGAAGAAAAAAAATAGTCAAATTACCACTTCTTTGTTAGTTTTTTATTCTAACAGTTAAAATCATGTTCTCTAATGAGTAAAGATTTTTTTTTCCCATAATAGTACACGAATATGATGGAATTTCTAACTCAATAATGGAGTAGAAAACCTATATATCTTTTATTCGATTAAAGCTAGTGGTCATGTGAAGTATCCACTAAATCTGTTAAAAAAATAATTAAATAATTTAAAGATCAGGTATCATTATCCCGTGCGTTTTTAATGTTGGGTATCCTCTTACGCGCAAACATGCATCTGTGGGATCTAATGAATATAAACTTTCATTTCGTTAAGGCCATCTAGTGAAATTGTGATAATGAAGTTAGATAAAGGGATTTTTAATGTTTGGTAACAGTTAATTTTAATTCTTTTACGTGTTTTATTATCTGAAGAGAGCATTCCGAAGAAACTATACTGTATATTAATCAGAGGTGGATGCGTACATGTATTTATGGTCTGCCTTCACAGTAAATTAAAATAATTTATAATCGGTGAAATCAACCATAGAAAACATGTGGAAGTTCTTTTTTTTTTTTTTTTTTCTCTGAGCTCCTTCTTTCCGTGCGTGTTTAATAAATCATGGGCCAGAATTCATGGGTGTTGATGTTTGAATTTGAATTCATCGCTTCCCTAGTCATTTTTCTCTTTAAGGAGAGGGACATGCCCCGATGCACGAGCCGAGAATCACGCCTTCATAAATCCTAAGAAGTGACACGTTTGGTAACCAAAAAATCATTTGTTATATATTTTGTTTTTTTTTTACCTCATACTCGAAATTTTTAATAGAATAAATCGATTAGAATTTGAATATATGTTTTATTGTTATAAGTGATTTAAAATACGAGTAGGCTACAGATAAGTTTTGGGTTTATTTCGGAGGATGATCCCATTCAGCCTCATTGTCCTTTTCACAATGGATGGAACAAACTCATTGACTGGAAAATACTTTAATGAGTGTGACCCAAGAAAAAAAAAACAGACATGAGAGGCCATCATAGTCATAAATTGGATTCGTGCAATTTCGTGGAACAAGATGAGAATTCCTTGGGTCCAACCAAACCAGGTGGCAGATGCGTAAAGCTAATTGGTCGTGCCGAGCATTTTTCTCTAATTTGCCCATAACGTTTCTTTCTGTTGTTTTTTGTGTTGGTTCCAACTATCAACTTGGAAGGTAGTAACCTTGTTTTATTTGGTTGACAAAAAATAACTTTTATAGAAAAATCAACTTTTGAAAAAATTATTTTTTTTAAAAAATATTTTCTGTTGTTTGACAGTTACATAGAAAAACTACTGAAAAATATATTCTAGCATTTATTTGATATAAAAAATTAAATTATAAAAACAAGTATGTGATTATTACATTAACAAGTTTTGAGAAAACTTTAAAAAGGTATATTCATAATTTCACAATATAAGATACATGTAGAAAAATTTAATAAATTTACATAAATACCGACTCTAAAATTTTAATTCAAAAAAATAAAATATACTCTTTTAACCATTAAATCAATTCATTAAAATTACTCGGGACAAAATTAAGTCAATATTCATATTTAGTAAAAAAAAAAAAATCTAAGTAATCCTAGCATTGTTATTTTAGCAACTCAATTAAGAATATATATATATATTGAACGAGATAATTTAGTTTGAAAAATAATTTTATAAATTATTAGTTATCATTTGTAAATAATTATTCATTTGGTTTCAAAAGATTAATGTTGGAATAATTAGTAACTAGCTATTCACTATAATTACTAACAAAATTTTACAACCGATTAAAATTACAGATTATTGATTTAGTTACAAATGAATAGTGCTGAAAAAATAATATATTTATTAATAAATTAATTAATTTTAAATTTTTTTACAAAAAATTACAGTTTTATAATAAACATTTTCAATCATTTAATTATAGTGTAAGTAGTATTTGAAATAATAGTAAAAAAATAAAAATAAATTATTATAAATAATTTTAAAAAAATACTCTATCATTTTTCGTTAACTGAAAATTATTTTCTATTGATTTTTTTTTAAATCATGAAATAAATATTTAAAAAAAAAGTTTCTGAAATTTATTTTCTCTCCAAAAAAAAAACATAGCTCAAGGTTAGCGTCATCTTAAACGTTGGACGGTTTTTCTGTATAGTAGTAGTTGAACAAAATAGCGTACGTAAGACAAAAGTTATAAAAGAAAATTTTTTTGTCGTCCTCGTTCATGATGGCGAGGTGATTGATGTTAGGGAAAACGAGAAATACACGGTCGCATGTGAGCCGAGCACAAAGTCATGTGGGCAACTACCTAGAGCTTGTCACTTTCTTCGCATCCGACAGATGCCCATCCTAAATACAACTAGATAAGAAAGTGGACAGGCATTGAAAATTGAGCGGCTTTTTTGTTTTCTAATCAAAAGTAAAGTTTAGTGAAATTGCCTCCGTTGTTAGCAACACGTTACGTATGGATTTGCCAACCATTCCCCAATTCATAGAGGACCACCTAGATAATAAATTTGAAAGTTAGTTCAGTTTTACCGTTTTAGGCATCCTTTTTTAAAGCCCATGTTCCCATATTTTAGAAGCTTAAAAAGTCCACGCTAGCATGAGACGGAATACTTCTTCTTCTTCTTCTTCTTCTTCTTAAGATAGAATACGAGTAATTATAAATTAATTCTTCTAATTTTGAAAAATTAATTAATTAATTAATCTCTTTTGTTTCAAAACCTAATTATTATTTTTTTTATCTATTTTATATTTTTGTCTAATTAGCTTCGTTTTTTGTTTTTAAATAATTACTAATCATAAACTTTTTTACTAAACAAGATAGTTATAGATAATTACATGGGTTCAATTTTTTAACAATTAGAAAAAAAAATGAACAGTTACAAAAAAACGTGAAGTGCAAGTGGATGGTTACAAAGGAATATAGAGCATTAGATTTTTTTAAACAATTTGTAGGCTTGTAGATTAGTCACTTGGTTCCTATTATAAGATCAAATGCATTTAATTATGTGCTTTTCAAGCATTGAATTCATGCTTGAATATAATGCCTTGATTTTATAATAAATAGTATAAAGATAGATTTTAATTGCAATAAAATTTAGAAAATGCAAACTTTTAGTTTAAAGTGATCGTTATTGTGAAGAGCTAATCTTGCAATTTATATCCCAATACATATTATAATCAAATTCTAATTGGAGTTTGCAAACTAACTTTCAATTCATTTTATTTAGTTCCACCCAGGAGAAAAAACCCAAAAATATCACAGGAATAAATATTAAAATATATAAAGTAATTACTTCAATTTATAAGAATTTGAGTTTGGAAGTTTGGTTGTCTTACGTGCCCAAAGTCCAATTAATTTTTTCCATTCTCTTATTACAAAGTTCTTGAAAATTAAAACATGTACAACAAATTCCCAACACTAGATTCGATTTTTTTTATGATTTGGAAAGTGCAGCAAAATTTTTGTAATAAGATGATGCAATTTCATAAGCATTGGCGGACCCACGTTTACTTCTACAGGGGCCCAGGCCCCCTCCACTGTTTTTTTTTCAACGCTGCAATATTCACAAAATATGTTTCATTTAATTAAACCGTTACAGTATAGATTGTTAACTCAAAGAGTTTTTATGAATAAACTTATTCATGGACTTGACATTGCCCTATTTTCTTTATAAAGTTTACCAAATTTTGAGCCATGCAAAATTTTGAGCGTAATAAAAATAAGCTCAAGTCTTTGAACAACTCCTTCCCTTCATAAAGAGGATGGTGGAAAGACTTGCTTGGGCTTGGACTATACATGGCCAGCCCAATTTCATGCTTTCCCCTCACCCAAGTTATGAAAGAATTTTATTGAAATTTTAAATTACCTTTCTTGAAATTGAATTGTTATTATTATTTTCTTTAATTAAATGTTAAGCATTAACCCCTTTAACTTTTTTTTTATCTCCAAATTTTTATTTTAGTAATACGAGAACTGATCATTTTTTTAATTATTTTCAATGAGTATAGATTAATTTTAAAATTGAGGGTTTCGAGCCTTCATATTCTTAAAATTAGAAAAAAAGTTTTAAAATTGAGGGTTTAAAGCCTTTATATTCTTAGAATTAAAAAAAGAAGCATGAAAAGTGAGATTTGAATCCTTAATCTCTTTGTTAAAAGTCTAAAACTCTTACAAACGAGTCATTGTTTATTGTTGTTCATCTTTTAAAATATGCTAAAAAAATTATCCATTTAACATTTAAACTCCTCTAGCAACCTCGTACAATTTTTCTATCAAATACAAAATCAACTCCTTCAAGATTCGTTCACAAGGAAGGAAAAAAAACCAAAAAACTCCTTTGAGATCAGGTAGCTTGGCTTAATGCTTAGTCTTCAGCTCACCCATACGTGCTTCTTTCATATATTTACACAAAAAGAAATGATGGTTAATCACTTTTGTGTAAATTATAATAAATTTATAAATATTTATTTTGGCTTTTGCAGATATTTAGTCCTCCGTCTGTCACTGTTCATAAGTTGAATCACTGTGTTTTAAGACCATGCTTGGCCAATGATCATTTCCTCCATAGTTAATTCGTTCGTAAAAAGATTGCTTGGTACGGAGCGCTCAGTCTTACTTCACATATATATAATTGGCACCAAAACTGGTTGAAGATGTTATTTATTATTAAGGAGAAGGACCAAAATTGCATACACCACCACAAACACATTAGAACGAAAACTTCAGCTACCAACCAACAACTATCTGTAACCCTAAACAAAGATTCACCGCACAAAGCCCATCCCTCCAAAACACCTTGCCATAACAAAGCACCCAAAGAACATAATATGGTTTTTATCCTCATAATCTTCATTCCACAATCAACAAACAAGATTCGGTTGACTCAATTAATAACGTAAGGACTAAATCGACAGATTGGAGCTAACACAAAGGGGGAAATTATGAGTTTAGCCTCAGTATTCTGACACAATGGAGTGAGGAGTTCTGATATTGGTGTCCAACAAGTGATAACGACGCCCCACTGCTCATCACTCCACCAGCTTATGGAGTGGAGCGCTCTCATCACTTGGTGCAGCGGCATCACCATCTACTGGGATGAATAAATTTTTGGCTTATTGTACAAAAAAAAAAATTTATAAACTTCACATTTTTTTTTAATTATATTAGCATGTGTTTTTATTTTAGACAGAAACATCAAAAACTAAGTAAGTTTTTTATATTTATTTTAACACACATGAATTTTTTCGATTTAAACCAAATCTGACTTGTCGTGCGATGGAGTATAACAATATAACTAAATTTAGCATGCAAAATCCAAATAGCCTCTTACCTATCTAATAATGAACTACATATCATTCATTCTTTTCCTAACCCAATTTTAAAAGAAAAAAAAATGTTAAAACTCAGCAACCATCTCTAAACCTAACCAAAAAACAAATAGCATAAAACAAATAGAACAATCCGTAGAGGAAGTCCAAGCACAAGCAAAATCAGTAACCATCCCTAAGCCTAACAAAAAAACAATAACATAAAACTAAATAGGAAGTTAGGAGCCACCATGGTTATGCAATCAGCTTGCCCAAGAATAAGAGGGATCCAAGACATGAGGTAACCTGATTAATGATTAGAAAAAAATTGATCACAATTAGAAGACTAGATGAGCAAAATCATGCTCAAGTTCACACAAACACACATGCAAGGCTAGTTCCAGCATAATACATATGTCTATAAAACAACATATTGCAAGCAAGCAAATATTACAAGTTTATGGGCATTGTATGATGCCAGGAAAAAAAAAAAAGGATTAATACTTAGCATTTTGATTGTTTAACACATCTACAATTTCACAAACAAATTTCTCACAAAAGCACCTAAACTGAAAACTATAATATTCAATCAAATCAACGAGTGCCAACCCAACTGCTCCAGAAAACTAGCCTTCGCAAACCAAACATCCATGACGCAAGAAAAAGTTCTTCTGCTTATCAGTAGGAATAAATTTACATGGGGGAATAATTTTCCTCAGTGATGGCCTAGAAAACACCATACTTGGTATGATATCAACTTTTACATTATCACACCACTTCAGATTTATTTCCCTCAATCTTGTACAGCTTTGCACCACTCCATTCACGCCTTTTGCCGTCACATTCAGGCAACCTTCCAGATCCAACTGCAACAATCCATGGCACTTCTTTGCAATCACTATCAATGCTTCATCATCCATTAATGGTCCTCCTGCTTGCAAAACCTCCAATTTAGGAAGTTCAAAGTCTATATCAAAACACTTTATCCCTAAACAACGATTCATCTCCAAATGTCTCATTTCACCACAATTCCTCAAAACTTCTCCAATCCCTTCCTCTGTAATAGTAGGGCAATGGCTGATCTTGAGCTCTTGCAAATTGGGGCAACATATTGCAATCTTTTTGATGCATTCATCACTCAAACTCTCATTCCCAGACAAGTTTAGAGACCTGATACAGGGGTTGATTCCAAAATCCACTATAAACTCTTCCACTCCTAAATTTGTTCTCTCCATTTTGATATCTTTCAACAAGGGACAGTTACTTACAAGCGTAAAGAAGGTCAAACTTGTCAGCTTAGAGCATAAACTAAGGTTTATAAAGGTCGACTTATGAAGAAACTCACACAAATTAACCATGGACTCATCGGTCAAGAAATTTGCTCCTTCAAGATCTAAGTATTCAAGAAACTGATACTTATACAGCAGGTAAGAAACTCCAACAAATGTGAAATCATAACAATGACAGATGGTCAGTTTCTTTAAAGGAAGACAAGCTTCTGCAATCGAAGAAAGCAATTCATCGGAGACAAAAGAATGTGAAAGATTAAGTTCACATAAATTTTTCGCAAACACAAATGATTCTTGGAAAAAGGAATCTATAGAAGGGATTCCAATTCCATCCACCGAAATAGAATTCAAATGAATGCATCTACGCATAACTATGCCAATTCCATTCTGGGTTATAAAATCACATTCACGAATCCCTATTTCCCTTAACAATAAACAATTCGCCGATAAAAACTGAAGTGATTTATCAGTAATGAATTGGTTACCAGAAAGATCAATCTTAAGCAAATTCTTGAGCTTCGTCGACAAGTGAATAATCCCTTCATCAGTTACAATCCCAGAAAAACACTGCAAATCCACAGACCAATTTGGACCAAAACGTGAATTGTATTGCGGGAAGCTAATATTAAGATCTTCAAGCAATGGAAACGAATTCCCGATTGCAGAAAGATCAGTATCTTGTAAACAATTCATTTCCGAGCAATTCAATTCCGTCAAATTCCTCATTCTCAGTCCCATTTCTCTCAAACCCATTAAAGGGAAGTGGCTTTGGTTAGAGAGAGTGAGGGATTCGAGGTCTAACCCTGATTTGGAGATTTGATGGAGAAGAAAATTGAGGTCTCCATCGAATTCAGGGATTTCAATTCCTTTGAGATTTGGGAATCTTCGAAAAAGATTTGGAAGGAAAGGGATTGTTTGGGAGGAGATTTTTAGGGAACGACGGAGATGATTAGTGATAGAGAAGAATTGAGTGGAGACTAGAGAGAGGGATTCGAAGTGACGGTGGTGGTCAAGGAAATTGAAAATCAATTCCCAGCATTCTTCTGGTAATTCCATGGATTGATCTGTCGTTTTGCTTGTTAGGATTTGGGAGGGGGGATTGGAGTGAGAGAGAAGAAGAAGAAGAAGAGAGGTGGTTCTGAAATTATGGATTGGAAAAGAGAATTGCTCGGGAGTAAGTGAGCTCTTATTTTTTTTTTTTGAAATAATTGAGCTTCTAAAGTGATTAACTTTATTATTATTATTATTATTTTAATAATTGAGCTCGAGGCCTCGAGCAGCCGTCCAGTCCTTGCTTCGTATTTTAACTAGATTTTTACTTCAAAAGGATTAGTAAGGTAATTTTTTTCCCCCATAAATATTACGAGAGTTAATGATCTGTTTATCATTTTTAGAGCCAATGTTTAAATATATCTTGAACTTTTAGATAATTATTCTGTATATCAAGTGTTTTATTTAATGGAAAATAAGTATTTTATCGACATTAAAAATATAAATACATTATTATTTTCATATGACAATTAAAGGTAAAAACAGCCCAACGAAAATTGAATCTTGCTTTCTCAAACCAACTAGGACAAGCATCTGGTTGGTTTGTGCAACCAGGTTGCCCTTGAACCAAAAAAAAAAAAAAAAAAAAAGCACCTAGTTGGTGCAAACCAACCAAGACTAACGCTTAGTTGGTTTGTGCAACTAGGTTGCACTTGAATTTAAAAAAATAAAAAAACACTTTGCAACTTCTAGCCAATCGGAGCTCGTCGGAATTTTATCGAAAAATTAATGATTAACTTTCAGATCTTTAGAAATTGAATTTTGGCATTATTTTTTTCATCGAACACCTCTAGATGATCGAAATAAAGTCAATAAACACATCTAAAACCTTAAAAATCATTTTAACGCACACAAAAACAAAGAAAAATACAAAATCAAATTGAATTTTTTTTCCTTTTTTGGCTCCGATCTACCTCCTTTAATAGTTTAATATTTTTAAACCATCATAGACAAACTCATCTCTCAAATATAAAAAATTTAATGAATTTTCACCGGCCATCGTGGCCTAAATAAGCTTAGTCGGCGATTTCTCTCTCCTTACGTCTCTCTCTTCCTCCCTCTCTTCTCTCTCATCCAGGAACCAAAATGAATGAGCAAATGAAGATGTGGATCAAAATATTCTTTAACAAATATCGGGGATCAAAGTATTAAAAAACTAATGAATAGTTAAATGTTAGTATGCGAACAGTATTTGAAACAATAAACCATCGTTCTGTTTTAGTTTATTTAGTTAATATACTTGAGATTTTAAACAAATATACATTTTATATCTTCAACATTTTTTTTTTTAGAGTAATCCTATGACTTCTTACTGATTCACCAACTCGGCTCCAATGGCTCAATCAACTGGTTTTTTCTTTAAAGAATGATTTGCCTAAATTAATAAAACAATATTGTTTGGAATAAAACATAGTAGCATAGCACCCGATGCATCGCCACGGACAATTCTATGTAATAAATTTTATTATTTTTAATAGTTAAAAATTCTAGGTGTAAAATAAAAATTAATTAACATGAATTGTGAGAATTTATTTAATTTAATATATATATATATATATATATATATATATATATATATATATATATATATATTGAGTTTAAATAAATCCTCGGAGTATTTTTTATTTTGATCAATAAATAAAGAAAAAAATATGCAAATAATTATTATTTATTTTTAAAATCAAATTAGGAGAATATACTTGAATCAATTTATATTAGAAGCACATTTAATTTTAGTCAATGAATCTATAAAAAAGTAATTATTAATTTTTTGTTTTAATATTTTAAACAATTAAACATCTAGGCATAAAATAAAAATTAATTAATACTAATTGTGGAAATTTATTTAATTTAATATATCTTAAGAATGTTTTTGATTTTGATCAATAAAAAAACATGCAATTAATTATTTATTTTTTAAAAAAACAAATTTGCTAAGTCAATTTATATTAAAATTGTGTTAATTTTAGTTAATGAGTATATAAAAATAAAAAAATAATTAATTATAGAAAAAATTTATTTTGAATAAATAATAAATAACATAACATAACATAAAAAAGAAAAAAAAAAGGCTAGGATGGGCTCTCACCAGGCCTTTCCATATGGGTCTAGAAACAACTAGGTCCACACAGCTAGGCTGGAAGCACAGCCCAGTCACACAAAAAATAAATAAACCTTTTAATAGCAATAATTAAATTTAATGACCGTTTTGTATAAAATGAAGATCTCAAAGAACTAAAATGTTAAAAAAGCAGACAAATGACCAAAAAATTGTTTTTTTTTTTTTTTTTTTCTGTGAGGGTATCGTTTCAAGTTAAAAAAAAAACTCAAAACGACACTATTTTAATTCACGTAGGACTTAGCTACAATATATAAAATGAGGATTTTTATTTTTATTTTGGTCTTAATTGAAATTCAATCAAAAGCTACGATATATAAACACTACAAAAAATCCGATCAATCAGAATTTTTTTGGCCGCAAATTAATTGTTTTGTAGGAGTATAATATAAATTAGTTTTTTAGTTTTATAAAACAAATTAAATAATTTTTTCTTATTTTAAAAACTAACTAATTAATACCATGATCAGTGTTAATTATAAATAATTTAATATTATATTTTTCCAAAAATGTTTTTTTTCCTCACCAATCCTTTAACATGCTTACTTATTTTTTTATCTCTTAAGATAAAAAATAAATTAAATTAAAAAAGATTTACAATTAGGTTTAAAAATAAAGAGACTATTTAATTCAATTTATTTAAAAAAAATAAGAACGATTAATTTATAATTTATTTTGTTTTGATGAGATTTACCAATCCATTTACCTTTTGTTTTGTTTTTCAGAGGGGACACAATTAGTACACAAAAGTAGGCAATGAAGTGGCAATTAATTAAAAATATACAGCATATGGTGTCTGTCAATCAACAGATTAGAGAGAAGCACGTTATATTTGATCACTGAACTCTTAAAAGACAACACAGAAATGGTGAATTGGTACAAACAGGTTTGGGAAAACGTAACGAAATTAGGCCCTCTCCCGTCTGCCGGTTTGTGAAATTGCGATCATAAAAAAAACAACACACCTGACTTGAGAAGTAGGAAGAAGTCATTAAGAGATTATTGCAATTGATCGATGCATCTTTGTGCTGTCAAGATTTATAAATTACTCTATTCTACACCTTACAAGATCAGCAAATTATACATGGAGAACTACATAGTATAATATAATGAAATAAAAAGCTGAAAAACATATACCAACATTAATGCTAGCTAGCCTCGTACTCGTACCAACTATTTTCTGCTTGTTTATTTTTTGAACAGGTTCTAGTATGAAGCCAAAAAAAAAAATGAATAATGAAAGCATTTAGTTCTTCTATAGAGGAGCAACCGGTGGCTATGCAAGCTGCTGAAATGGGGGCATTTGCACTGGCTCATTTTATACAGCAACCGGTGCTGGCGGCACGGAAGAAAATGGTAGTGGCTCCTGTGGATTGTCTGGTATTTCAGGCACTAAAGGAGGTGGAAAATAAAGGTCAGGTGCATTTGGGGGGGTTGATTCTATAGGTGGTGCGAATGCGAACGGCTTTTGTGGTGGCAGTAATGGAAATTGTGGAGGCTGATCATCAGGTACTGGTGGAGAAAACATGGGGACTAAGGGTGTGGGTGTAAACTGATCAGTTGGTGGTGATAATATTGGTAGAAAAGGTGTTGGTGTAAACTCATCAACTGGTGGCAAATCTTGTTGTGGTGGTGGATTAAATAAAGGCAATGGTGGTGGTAGTGTAAATTCATCGGGTGGCAAATTTGGTTGATCAGTATTTGGTGGGTAAAATATTGGGACTAATGGCGGTGATGGTGTAAACTCATAGCCTGGTGATGGTATTTCTGGTTCTGTTGGTGGGTCAAATATTGGAACTAAAGGTGGCGCTGGTGTAAACTCATCATCTGGTGGTGTGTCTGGTTCTGTTGGTGGATCAAATATTGGGACTAGTGGTGGTGGAGGTGTGACTTCAGGTGGAGGTAAAAGCCACGGATTTATTGGTGATGGTGTCACTTCAGGTGGTGGCGGTGAAAGGACTAGTGGAGGTGGTGGAAATTCTAATGTTTCTGGAGGAGGAGATGGTATTGTTGGCGGTGGAGAAGGAACCAATGGTGGTGGTGGTGGTGGTGGAGGGGATGGTGGAGGTGGGGATGGTGGTGGTGGTGGAGAAGAGGGTGGTGGAGACGATGGGGGCGGTGACGATGGTGGTGGAGATGTAACAACTGGTGGTGGTGATGGGACTACGGGAGGTGGTGATGATACTAAAGGAGGTTGCACTGTTGGTGGTGGAGATGGAACAATTGGAGAAGGAGAAGGCACTAAAGGAGGCAATGGTGGAGTTCTCCTGCTAGGAGGGGAGGGTCTTGGCGAGGGCATAAAGGGGTTGTCCGGTGAGGGGGAAGTTGGGAAAGGCCATTGGTTACAGGTTCCAAATAGGTACTCAAATAATGGATCACAGTTGGATGATCTTCTTGATCTTCTTCCACTACTTCTGCTCCGTCTACCACCACCTCTGCTGATTCTCTTCTGTTCTTTTTCTTTGCCTTCGGTAATTTGTTCGTGTTTGAGGTGAGGTATGGCTTCTGAGAATGATTCGGTTATCAAAAGAAGTGCTAGAAGAATAGCAATCACTTGGTTTACTTTCATTTCTGTTGCTTTCACTTCATTTTGCTACTCTCTGTCTGCATGGAGATGGTCATGAGTATTATATATACAGGGTGAAATGATGATTCTGCCTTAAGGCATTTATTAAACTTCATCTAATTTTTGATCCCTCTTAATCCTCATTAGCCCGATTCGCTTCAGGGCAAGTTGTGGATTTTTAGGAACCATTCGTAGGCATGGCCTGAAAAGCAACATCAAGTTGGGTGGTGCTTAATTAAATGAGGCCTTATCCATCAATGTGCAGTAAATAGCAAGAGGTGAGACCCAAGGCCAGCTAATATTACGAGTTCCAATAGAAATGGATAGGGGCAAAGTCTGGGCTTCGGGCAATGAGTAATTGAAAGGTGGGTGAAATGGGATGCTCTGCAGTGTGAGGGCTGCCTAGTTTCATGTGCCATTTTGACGAGAAGAACCTTAAATGCAAATGCAGACCATATGCCTCTGCATTCTTTGAATGTCACTCCTTTTTTATCTGACTTTCAGAATCATGCTGAATATTGTGGAGTGATTTGATTTATAAGGTATAAATAATACTGCTACCATCCGTCAATATGTTAATCAATTAGTCCGGTTCTTTGTATATCATTTCCAGCTGCTAATTTGGTTCTTGTTCACAATAAAGGAAAATGTCAATATTGTTTAGTCCGTTGGGTTTTTTTTTTTTGAAAAAATTTAAGAGTGAGGTCTTAAGTTTATTTCCTTCTCTAATTACCGAATAAATTAATTAAATGAACAATCGAAAATAATAGGTGACATTTTAAAAAAAAAATCTTTGCCTATTGTTCTAGGCTTCTAGCGCTAGAAAGAAAGAAAAATACTAGGCTTTTTTTCTTTCTTTCTTTTTTCCCCTCTTTTGCAAGCAACTCTTGCATGCTAAAGGGTCATGGCCCAAATACAAAGTCCATCGAATTCCAACCCAGAAAAAAAAAGTCCTTAACGTGCATAGTTCTACTTCTACCCAGCCCGGATATAATCAATTGACCCAGATCCAAGGTCCGAACACACACGTCTAATCGCAAAGTTCAGACTCTCTGGACCTTGTCAAGTTCACGTCGCTCAATTAGGACAGTTAATCACTGCCGCGTCATATCCCGCTGGCAAAAATAAGAGCTTCATGATCATCGGATCAAAATTAACGGCTCCTATTGTCCTTTCGGTCACCCGCAAATATTATACGAGATTTCAGGGGCTAATATAAGATCAAATTTTCATAAGATAATTTTTTTATTATTTTATAATCCATTTCAATATGTTCGAGAAATATTTGATAGCATTAAAGGAGGAAATTATTGTCGTTATAAAAATATAAAATTTTAATATATTAATTTATAGTTATGGTTAATTCAATTCATATACAGTGGATTGGGGGAGGAAGGGAGGGAGAGAGAGAGTTGTTGATTTTGAATTGCTGTGTGCTGAAGCCGTTTTCTGGAGTTATATTATCACAATTAAAGAACGATTTTTTTCTCTGTCTGCATAAATAATATAATTTTTTTTTCTCCTAAAAATTTTGTTCAAGCAAACTCATATATATGGATTTTGGAATTTTTAAATGAGAGGTGAACTGCCACGTCAAATAATAATGACATGTGTAAAGAAATTATTTTTTTTATTTTTTAGTTTCATTATATATATATATACACACACTCTACATGTGTTATTATTATATGAAGTGCCATTCTATCAGTCACTCGTTATTAAAATTTTATAAAAAAAAGCTACTTTAAAATATAAATAAATAAATAAAAGTAGAAGAACACGTTCAAAAATGGTGAAGAGTGCAGAGACGAAATAATGCGATTAACCCGTAGAAATGAGGTTGGTGAGTGGGATGGGCCAATCGAAAGGTTCGGCAGAGCTGTTAGTGGGTTTGTTGAGAAAAGGATTGGGATTGAAAGTAGAGGATCGAAAGAGATGTTGGAAGTTCAGGCAACAGTGGGCCACTAGCATCCCTACTGTCCCCAGTCCAAACTAACGTTTGGGAATGCACCTCGTACAGATCCAGGAGCTCTTGTTGTCATCCTTGGGAATTTAATCCAGGTAATAGTTTTGTGAATTCGACTCACTAGATTTAATACATCGTTTAAAATAGATATACATGCTAGTGACATTTTTGCAGAGTTTTGACGAAGTTTAATTTTTTTCCCCCTTTAGTGTGTCTGTTAATGAATATTAATATGGTTCGAGTATGTTCAAATCAGTTTAATTGTTTGAAAAACACTAAGAAATTATTTGTCTGCAGAGTATTAACAGTAGCAATTCGAGCATCTTCACATTAGTAATTTAGTTGTTTGAGAAACTCTAAAAAAATTGTTTGTCTTCAGAATATTAACAGTAAAATTCGAGCATGTTTAGGTCAGTTTGGTTGTTTGAGAAATTTTAAAAAATTCCTTGTCTACATAGTGAACGTTTTTTTTTTTTTTTCCCTCCTAAAAATTGTTTGAATTTAAAAAAAATTCAAATAGTTTTTTCCGACTATTTTTTAAAATAAAGTTTCATAAGCTATAGAGGTTGGGAGATATTATTATGAGGAAAAATTGTTGATAAGAGGTTTGTTCAGTAAGGTAAATTTGAGACCGTGAAAGTAGAGCTAGGAAATAGCTCAAACACGTTTAAATAACGAGGGACCGCAAAAATCCTTCAACAAATGGATAAAAGCGTAAAAATAATACAGAAAAACTTAGTATATTTTCGCTCTTCAACAAGCATGACCACAATTTCAATTTTGACTATATTTCTTCCTATATAATATATAGAAAATAATTGAACTATCGTTGTAAGAAATTATTGAGCAATCATATAACTTAATAAATGAATAAAAATATGAGTTAGCAAGTTTTGTGTTGGTTGTATTTGAATTTTTCCTTAAATCAATTTTATCTCTTGCTCAACGCACGTCCCAAAAAAAAAAGGAAAAAACAAAAAATCTCCTTTCTCAAAACAACATACCGTAGTCCTCTATTCTCTCTCTCTGTTTTTTTTTTTTTTTTCCCTTCCTTCCTTATAATTCTTTTGTTATTTGTCATTTAGAGTATGTCCAATATTGCCGAATACAGGAGTGCAGAACACAGAGTGTTGTCAAATCCTTGTCTCAAAGCACGTATTTCAGAATTGCTACTTTCTTCAAGACAAGCCATCAGGAAGATTTATATGGACCCTTTCTGCAGCTAAAATCACCAGAAAAAGCCACCTCTCTCTTTACCGGCAATTCATACTCTCGGACCTTGCGACAAGGTATTTTACCAAAAACTTCGGCAAGTCTAAATCACTGCTAGATTAATTACTACAAGATATAATAAGCAAGCACGGTGGATTGGAGAGCAAATGCATGGTATCTATGGTAAAGTCTGTGTGGAAAGACAATGCCAGCACTTAAAATCCTATCATAACATGCATTATAGTTTTTTTTTTTTTCCTTATATGCTTAGATTTGTCTTTGCATAATGCATCAATATGATATCCGCACAGTGTTGCGGGTGTATCATAAAATGTCTATAATTATTTGCCAATTAATCATGTACTATGTCTATTTTATTATTAACTCAATTTATTTTATTTTATTATTATTCTACGTTTCTATAAGATGAAGTGTTTTTAATTTAAGAGAGATGAAGTGTTTTTTTTCTTTTCAGTGTTTTCATTTATATAAAAGGGGAAGCAAAATTTTTCATGCATTATTGTTATTTATAAAAATTAAATATACAGATTATTTAATTACACGTGTAACTAGAAATTTTATATTTTTTCACGTACATACACATTTGTATGCAACCTCACAGTAATTTTGACTGTAAAGTTAAAATATGTATAACCTGATTCAAATTTAAGACTTCAAACTGAACGAGTATTCTTCTCATCACCTTATAAACTAATAATATAAATATATAAAATTAAATAATATGTAAAATATGCAATTTATCTATTCGATTATGATAAGTATTAATTGAACAAAACCAAAATATATTTTTATTTTTTAGCATGAATATGGTCATGGCTAAAGGATAAGTTTGTTATGTCAAATAAATAAAGTTTCGTCTGGTATAATTTTTGAAAATTAATTTTAAGATTTTTTACTTTTGACTAAAAAAATAAAATAGCATAAATATGTCTGATTGATTAAAAATAACTTAATTTTGAGGTTAGAAGAAGTGACGCCTGATGACTTTATTGCTAGCTTGACTCTAATTTCTATCGACATTTTGCTATGCTTATGCTCTACGTTTCACTATAGTAGTTGGGCGTTTGTGCTTTGTTTGATGGATGATTATTTTCATTTGTTCAGCAACTCTTGGTTCCTTGTCTGTTCGTGTCATCAAGAAATATTATTGGCTAGAAAACCATAATTTTCAAACCTTTGTGCTGTCATTTAAAGTCCTTCGCGTTTACTGTCAATACCTATCATTGACCGTACAACTCAGAGATGAGTAACGCATATATAGTTCTGATTAACAAGGATTTGGTGCTAATTTTGATTGGATCAGTCATGTACACGCAAGTCACTTGTCATGAAAAATGGTTGAAAAAAGAAAATGGCTAATCAAGTGATCAACACATTAATTTAACGTTTTGGTGCAATGTCCCTCACTGATCAATAGCGTAGAAGTCATAGATGAACTTCTGTTTTCCGAGATAGAAACAAAACTCAGATGTGAGTTGTCAAAGAATTGGGTAATATACCTTGTCTTCTTCAACGTCACGAACTTGCAATTAGCTTCTCTAGATTTTTTTTTTTTTTTTCCTGCTGTTCAATTAACGTTGGTGGTTTTTAGGAAGTGGCAGAGAGTGGAGACTGCCTTAATGGAAGTCACGTAAACACAGGTCATGGCCAGCTATTTTTCTTTTTTCGGTCACACGTTTGGAGCACTTCTCTACTTTTTGCTCCAATTGCCTATTATTTACCTCAAACTGGAAAAGTCCTACAGAAAGATAAAAATAAAAAATACTAATGTTGTTTGGGCATGGGGATAGTTATGCAACTCTTTCCATTACCATCATATTCTCTCTCGCTATTTGCAGAAAAAACAGATTTGACTTATTGGGTATAGAAAGTTGAAAAAAGAAAGAAGATATGAATATATTATAAGTCTATTATGAACAAAGAGATAAACATAAAAGAGAAGGAAAAAAATTATATCTAATTTTAAAAAATAATAAAAATATTTCTATTTAAATTTAATTTTTTAAATATTTCTTATTTATTTTTTTATCTATTTTTCTTCTATAAAATATATATTATTAATTGTAAAATAAAATTTCTGAAAAGAATTATTATGAAGGCATTTCAAGCGGGATGACGAAAGTGATCACATATATCTTGCTCGCCTATATTACGTGGGACCCTCTTCAATTATAGACATGTTACTTTCGATGTGAAAGGAAGAGGGAAAGGGGCCATGGTTTTCGTCCAACTTGTTCCCATAAATGCTGTCATGTAACGTAAGTTAAGGATCACATATTGACCCAAAGGAGAAAAAAGATTTGTGTGATAATTTATATATCATTGAAATCTAGACGAAAGATATTTAGCTGACAAAATTCTTGCTCCATGATTGGAATTTTCTAATTTTTTTAAACCTCTTAAATTGAGGTTTGTATTTTCTTTTAATAGAAAAATCGAGACTTGAACTCTTAAAACAACATTGATAAAAAAAAAAAAATTCTTAAAACAACCGAATAATAGAAAAATATTAATTTAAAAATCAAAATGCTTTTCATACGTAAAGAAAGTATTGAAATTTAAAATAATAAGTTGTAAATATTATTTTTCTTTATTTCAAAAAGTTCCCATGAGGGAGGGAGGCATGGACCAGGAAGCAGCAGCCATCATCGGTCCACGTCCCACGTCTAAGCCTTCCTTCGAAAACCTTTTTAGGGAACTCAAAGGCCCCAGCATTCAAACTCAATAACTGCCACATGATTTCATGTCCATTTGCCCCCTCTCCCTCCCTGGATAAAATCTTTTTCTTTCTTTCTTTTTTATCTGTTAATAAAAAAAAAAGGGGAAAGTGCTTTCTTAGTTTCCCTCTGAAGAAAATGCTAGCAGCCATCGCTCCAAACAGTCGTTTTAGGCACTTGCCATACCAAATTGCCACGTTTGACTTAATCACACTCGTCGTTCCTTCTCTCTCTCTCTCTATTTTCTAGCCCTCCTAGTAATTTTTTCTTATCATTTTCTCGCATTTCTTCATGCTCCCTCGATCTCAGCAGTTCTTTACTTCTTTATGTTTGCTCATCTTCCCGTATTCCCAGACTCGTTTCCTTATTTACTGTATGGGATATTTTTGCACTTTTTTTATACGCAAAGTCATAAATATAAATACTTCATATTTAAATAAATATGTAGGGTTCTTGAGCCTTGATGTAACGAATAAATAATGAAGATTGTAGAAAGTAAGATAATATATTTAGATCTAGTCATTTATTCAGTCAATCAGCCTTTAAAATTCCGTGATTAATTTCTCAGAATCCCAATAGAAAAAAGTCACATAAATAAATAAGGATATAATGAGAGATTTGCCTTTTCTCTTTGAACTAGACAAAGGCTGTGTTTGTTTAGGGAAAAACAAGTTATAAGAACTTTTTTCTCCATTTTTTAGTGTTTCTTTCACGTTTAAAAAAAAAATCAACAAAAAATAATTTTCAGTCAACAAAAAATGATAGAGTATTTTTAGAAAAATATTTTTCAAGTTAAAAAAATGAAAAACATTCTCCTTCTCACAAGCTCTTTTGTTTTTGCATTACTTACCTCTTTCTCAATATATTTTAATAATTTTTTTTCTATCTATTTTTTATTTAAATTATATCAAATTAATTTTTGATTATTCCTTATCAATTATTATCAATTATTTAATTATTTTTTCTCTATTTCTAATGATATTTGATTTTTTGATTTATAAATACACTAATATTCTTAAAAATTATTTTTACACCTTAAATTTATTTTTATAATAAATATTTTAATAATTTATTTTTATTTTTTTACTATTATCTTAAACATCACCTAAACTATACTTAAATAATTGAAAATGATTATTACAAGACGGTAATTTTTTGTAAAAAAATTAAAATTCATTAATTCATTAATAAATACATTATTCTTTCAATACTATTCATTTGCAACTAAATCAATAATTTTTAATTTTAATGTAATTGGATTGAATAATTAGTCACAAATTATTCCAACATTAATCTTTTGAAACCAAAAGCGAGAATTATCTACAAATGACAATTAATAATTTATAAAATTATTTTTTAGATTAAATTATCGGTTTATTTTTTTTAAAAAAAATCTTAATTGAGTTACCAAAATAACAATGCCAGGATTACTTTTTAGGTTAAATTATCAGTTCAATTAAAAAAAAAAATTTCTTAATTGACTTACCAAAATAACAATCCTATAATTACTTGGAATTTTTTTTTTTTTTGCTAAATATGAATATTGACTTGATTTTTTCTCAACTAATTTTGATGAATTAGTTTGATTGTTAAAAAAATATATTTTTTGAATTAAAATTTTAGAGTCAATTTTTATGAAAATTTATTAAATTTTTTCTACATGTATCTTATATTGTGAAATTATACATATGCTTTTTGAAGTTTTCTCAAAACTTGTTAATGCAATAATCATATATTGTTCTTATATTTTAATTTTCTATATCAAATAAACGTTCAAATATATTTTCTAATAAATTTTTCATGTAATTATCAAATAGTAAAAAATATTTTCTTGAAAAATAACTTTTTCAGAAATTGATTTTTTTATAAAAATTGTTTTTCATCAAACAAACGGAATCAAAAAGAGAAACTCTTATATCCAAATTACTGCATGGTTTTTTCTCATTTTATTCGTGCCCTTCTAGCTCAAAGCGAATGATTTTCTTCTTGATAGAAAAAAGAGAGAACGATTTTCACTTGAAAGAAACTTGGGTTAATTAGATTAACATTGAAAAACAAAGACACATAGATTTCTTTGATGATAAAGTTTGATTAAACAAAAACACTATAACAGAAATCATCTCTCCAATGCACGTGGCTTCATAAGGGAGCGAGTGTTATAAGGTGAGTGCCCCTGGCATTCCTCTTCCCTGAAACAGTCTTTGCTTTGTCTTCTTCTGCTAACAAATATACTTTTAAGTTAGATTTTCAAGTTAAACGGCCCTATAAAGAACCTTCATACTATATTACATCATAGTACAAAAAAAATCTCTCTCCAGCTCTTTGTCTGTTTGGAGAACAAGACATGAATGTTCTTGGTATGTTATTGCCCATGTGGGCATCGTTAAGCACATCTTTGTTTTTCTTGCTTGATGCCAGAGTACCTGAGTCAACTCGTTCCACCATTTCTCCCTCTCTTCTTGCTAAGAAACATAAGCCCGTCTTTCTCTTCTCTTCAAAAATGCAAGCTCAATCTCCAGGTATGTTAACAGTTAATGCTTTTTTTCTTTTTTTGAAGTTCGTGTTTTTATTTTCATCTTGGTTCTTAAACAGTCATTTCCTTTATATGTATGACGTTGTACTATAAGGGTCTTGCTTTGTTTCACATTACGCATTCAAATTTCAAACCCCCAGTACAATAACATGATTTAGTGTAGATTTGTTATACATTGTTAATCGGAACAGGAGATTTGTTTTGAATGTGTATGTGTTCTTCGGTTTCTTGAAAAAAAAAATCCAGAAATTGTTGTAATGTAACCTATGTCATTTTTTACGTTCTCCTTTTCTCCTTCTTAGTTTCTCCCTAAACAAGATGAGGATTTATATTTCTTGTGATTCCGTTCAAATGTGAAATTCTTTTTTTTCACAATTGGACTTTGCATATTTCTCTCCAAAACTTGCTATATCAGTTCCTCTTGTTTCATTTAGTATATTTTTGTTTTCGCTGATGGATGTGCTTGCGCTTTTCTTAATTTTTGTTTCCTAGATAGTAATTATATTGGACTAATTAAGGTTTTTCTTTGAACTATATTGTACCCTGGCTCCCTTACTTTTTATCCAGGGATGCCTTTGGTTCCTGTGGTTGAAGAAGTACACCACCAAGATTTGAATAAGAGAATCCTTATAGCACTGATTGTTGCTTCCACTCTCCTTGTTGGAACAGTGTTGTTTTTCTCCTGTTTCTGGATCTACAGACTGAAAAAATCTAGGAAATGCAGCGCCAAAAGTAAAAGCGATGGTATCTTCTTTTCCACGAGTTAATTTTGCTTTTGCTGTTACAGTTTTCCTTTTGAGGCATGTTACTCACTCAGTCTTTTTCTAAATTTTTTGTTTAAATTTAATATGTAGATGTTGCTAAAGGGAATTCGCTGAGTCCGACTGTGGATAAAATTAATTTCTTCAGGATGGCTGGGAAGAAGGGTCCAGTTGCAGTTATGGAGTATCATTTGTTGCAGGCTGCAACAAACAATTTCCAGGAAGAGAATGTTCTGGGAGTAGGTGGTCGTGGATGTGTCTATAAAGCTCGTTTCAGTGAAAAACTCCTTGCAGCTGTGAAGAGATTTGAAAGTGATGCACAGGACATTGAAAGAGAATTTGAGGTAATGACTTTAATGAAAGTGATTTGGATATGGTTTCAAAGCACCATGGCTTCTTTAATCTCTTTTCGTTTCATTTCAATTCCTGTTTGTAAATGCAGAACGAGCTGAACTGGTTAACGAAAATTCAGCACCAAAACATAATTTCTCTTTTAGGTTACTGCACTCATGGCGAAGCAAGGTTTCTTGTGTATGAAATGATGCAAAATGGGTCTTTGGAAAGTCAATTGCATGGTAGACTTCACATCCTTCTGAGTTTTAAAATAAAAAAGAAGTCATTAGAAGATACAAATCGTGTCTTTTTCCTTGTATTATTTACAGTATTGATGAACATATAGGGCCAACACATGGATCAGCATTAACTTGGCATATGCGACTGAAAATTGCTGTTGATGTTGCAAGGTAACTCCAACTCCCAATTTTGTGGTTTGCGCTTTATTCTCATTCTTTCACCTTTTCTCTTCCAAAGGAAATCCTTTTCTTATGCTAACTACTTGCTGTCACCAAAAATGACCAGAGGACTAGAGTATCTTCATGAGCATTGCAATCCTCCCCTTGTCCATAGAGATCTGAAGTCATCTAATATTCTTCTGGATTCCAATTTCAATGCAAAGGTAAAAGCCATCTATGTACGACTTCATCATGATTATTGCAACCCTCATAAGTGCATGCTTTTTAGCATTGGTTTCAATGCATTCTTTGATGAGTCTTTACTTAATTCAGCTTTCAGACTTCGGCCTTGCTGTAACTTCTGGGATCCAAAACAAGAACTTAAAGCTTTCAGGAACTTTAGGTTATGTGGCACCAGAGTACCTTTTGGATGGTATGCCAAATTACGTTCAAATCTTTGGATGTATAACTCATATGCCTTTAGACTGTTGTTGTTTGATCTCTTACTTTTCATGCTTTTGATAATTAATATTATGTTGTTGCGTTCTTTCATGATTTCTTAGTTTATTATCTATCATATTTTCAGTCATTAAAAGTTATGTTGCTGCATTCTTTGATGAACTCTTTGTAGTTGTAACTTCCATCCACACAAAATGTGATCATTTTCCAGCAATCATCATCTGAAAAATAGGATTAAAAATTCTTACTGCTGGTGAGAGATTTTGATAATGGATGCTTAATCAAGATATTTTGTAAAATGTTTTCGTATTTTTAAAATCATGCAGTATCTTTTAGCACTTTGATCTTTAGGCTTAATTTGTTAACAAGGTTGAACAAATTCTGTGTGAAAAGAATGTCAGATGTTGAACAAGGCGAGTATTGCTATAGCATCTAAGTCCTGATTCGGATGTTTGCTCGTTGCTGATGAACTTTGGTAACAGGAGATCCATGGAAATCTTTTCTATTTTATTTTCAAGAACTATAGAATTCTACCAACAAGTATCTTTTTCTACTCATTTTGTGCTGCATAGTGGAGCTTAATAAACAACATTTCCTGCATCTAGTCTTTCTTTGACACGGAACGAAGCCTGATTGTTTATTCAACCAATCGCTTGGAAAGAAAAGTATGTAACTTTCATTTTTCTTTCCAGGTAAACTAACTGATAAAAGTGATGTCTACGCTTTTGGAGTTGTCCTTCTGGAACTCCTGATAGGAAGAAAACCAGTGGAAAAGATGTCTCCAGATCAATGTCAGTCTATGGTCTCATGGGTAATTTTCCTGAACCCCATTTTAGCTGCCATGCCTCGAGGATTCAAGGTAATATCAATCAGGATTCCTTAAGGTTTTGGAACCTGATTGTACCATACTTTTTTACATGTAGGCCATGCCTCAGCTCACTGACAGATCGAAGCTTCCAAACATTGTGGATCCTGTTATCAAAGACACTATGGATTTAAAACACTTATACCAGGTACATTGAATAGGAAACTACATATTTGTATGCTCGTAATTTTTCTGTTCTTGCTTTTAGTGTACAAATTTAATCATATTACCTTTGAGTAGGTAGCTGCAGTGGCAGTACTATGTGTGCAACAAGAACCAAGTTATAGGCCATTGATAACGGATGTCCTTCACTCCCTCATCCCTCTTGTACCTCTCGAGCTTGGAGGGTCACTAAGGGTCACAGAACCTGTTCCTCTTGCCCTGCCTTCTCACCGATGAGTATATCTCAAACTGACGTCTTCTTTTGTATATTCAGATGTACGAAAATCATTAGAGGAAAGATTTTTATTTTTCATTGTTACAGTTGAAAATTGATTTGAACTCTAAGATGATTTTTCCATAAACAGCTTCTTCAAATTTTGGATCTTTCAGCATGACATTTTTCCAGTTTAGTAAGATGTCCTCTAATCAGATAAAATGGAGGGTTGTAGCTGTTAAAGTAGAACATGAAACTAATTTAAGAGTGGTGAGATTCTAATTTTCTCAGATGAGCTTGTTTCATCCTATCAATCTTAATTAGTCAGCAGACATTGTTCAATTCTTCTGTTATGCAGATATTTAACACCATGAACATAGTTCTCCAGGGCTCAGCGGTTTGAGCAGCAATGGCATTGCAACTCTGGGGCTATATAAGGCTGCAGTCAAATCTGCTGTCTCTTGACATTTCAAGTCGTTTTCTGCAAGACATAACCTCTCCTCACCTTAAAAGTGCTGTAATCTGTGAAATTGTATTAGTTGACTTTTCCTCATGCCGAGTTTTTCTTGTATTTGCATGCAACGCCTAAACTCCTTTATTAACAATTCCTGCCAATCTGATGATTCTGATAACTAGTATTTGGTAAACAAAATACGAAGCTATACATAAGAGGGCCTATACACACTGTTGAACACCAGAACACAAAAGCCTAAGCTGGTGGCAATCTCCAGGCATGTCTTCTGAAGGAGAGAGAACTTACATCGGCTCTGGAGTATACAAGTACTTTAGTTATTTTAGCCAATGCTTCTGGCTGCATCATCCAGATGTGGTAGTTTTCATTTGGCTGATCACGATAATTTCTCTGAGAAAAAACCATCAATTGGCATCGAAGAAAGCTTCAGCTAATTGGGATAGCAAATAACACAAGATAAATGTCTCAGACAAGTTTGGATGGCCTAACCCAGAAGGACAGGAAGGCTGCAAATCTGCACTTAAGCAAGTCCAAAATTTCTTGATTTCATCTGTAGCGGATTCTAACTTAAACCCACCCACTCGGATACAGACACAAAGAAGATGGGAGAATCTGTGCACAGAACCTGGGAAATTCTAGTTTTCTTTGTTAACATCAACACGTTAAATCAAGCATATTCTGATGGCAATGTACATTCATGTGTATACCTTGATTATCACATGATGTAAAGCATAAATGATGGCAACGATCAATTGTATGAGACAACGTAATCCCTGTCTGTCATGCCACAACATGACACACAGTTATGTAACAAACAGGCATTTCTACTTCGTAATGGTTGAATTTGTCACACCAGCCATGATATTATCTATGAATCAAATAAAACAAAAACCATAAAATTTGGAGAGATATTCTAGCTTTCATCAACAATTCAATAGCATGTTTGTTGGACATTCTAAAGCCCCTACAAGATGGCTACCATTGCTTAATTCCCCCAGTACTTGGTCTCTTTTCCTCTCCTTCCATCTCTTATATTTTAGAAGAGAAATGGTAATATCAAGCTGGATCTGCACTAAAAGCACCAAGAACATGCTTGTTAAAATTGTTCATCCTGGAGGTCACATAGAGCTCCATGATAGGCCTGTTCTTGCAGCAGAGGTCATGCTTCGTAACCCGAAATGCATAGTTGCCTATCCACAAGTGTTCCGGCAGCCTTGGGCTATTGTTGCACCAGACACCATGCTAGAGCTTGGTCAGAAGTTCTATGTTGTTCCTATAAACACCATCAGAAAACTTCAGCGTAAGAACATCAAATATTCTCAATCTCCAATAAATGGTGTCCAAACCAGCAAGACCCCTAGCAATGATGAAAAAGGCAGTGATATCTCATCCACTTGCTGGCTTTTTATTAACAAGAACATGAAGTCACCGTGTCATTTCTTACACAGAGAAGGTGAGAGAGCAAACACCACAGGAAATAAAATCAAGAGTACTAAAGCCAACAGCCATGATACAAGTGAGGAAATAAGGAGAAATAAGGAGATGACAACAGGATCACCCACGGGATTTACGTCTCTTGATCATTGGCAACCAAATCTAGACAGCGTCGTTGAAGAATATTAAAGAAATTACCCATATATATTACAATTTCTTTTTAATGTTTCATATAGGCACACTATGTATGAAATTTTACATTCAGGATATACAAGACGAGAAATGTATGTCAAAGGCCTGTGATCATGGTTGTAAATCCCTATTCCAAGTCAGCTAGCATCAGAAAATATTAAACGTCCTCAATCATCTTTTAATCATCCTAGATTGTTCTTTGGTATTCATGGCTTTTGTGAAAGCCAACTTAAGTATTCAAGATTGGAAGGCAGGATCTGTTCAACTCATGAGGAAATAACAAGAAGCTTAACTTGATTTTGGTCAACTCAACAACTCTCTCCTTCTCTTACATTCAAGAAAATAAACTTATTTATACTTCAAATGCAAAATCCATTAAATCCTCCAATAAACTAAAACAATGCATATCTGATTTGATCGGATTTCTTCGAAACCAACCAAGAGAAAAGAAAACACCTTTTCTTTTGGTTTTACTTTGTTCCAAAAATTGACATAAAAATAGAAACCGACCAAATTGATCAGTTGGTTAATTTATAGTAGCGAATTGGGTGTCTTCCTAGATATCATGTAGAAAATGGGCCTCGATACTATTTGAGATACAGGCCTTATTTGATATGATTTACAGAAGGACTTGAACTCACTCACCACCTGGACTAGCATGTTTTTGTAAACTGGGCTCAAATGTTAAGGGCCCAAGCCGCCCAAAAGATAACACTAGCTCATGCCTGCCATCTGCCCTTCTCCTTTTGTTGCGAGATCCATGTTCCCACGGTACCTAACTTTTTAAAGTTAAGTTAATGGAGTATTTAGTTCCCATATTCTCAATTTTTCTTAGTTTGGTCATTTTATTATTATTTATTCTATTATCATCCTTAATCTCTCTTTTTTTAATCATTTTGCCCTTTTATCAACCATGACAAGAAACCATCTCTACTTTCAACTGATGAAGAATTGTATTAATACATAATAAACGGTACGAGATGACACCAAGACAAGGAAAAAAGAAGAAGAAGATTTTGGGAGGTTTTTTTTTTTTTAAAAGCAAATAACAACACAGATAATCTAGCTAAAGATGTATGAAGGCAGTTGACAAACTGGTGCCATAAATACAAAACAAGGAGAAAGGGATAATATTCAGACAAAATATGGTATAGGCACCATAGTAAAACAAATTGAGAGTTGAATGAGCAAATACACCATTAACCCCATAATAAAAGTGCAAGCTATCAAATTCTTACCGGTTTTTTTTTTTTTTTTCGGACCGATAAAATAGCCCCTGAAAATAGAATCTTGTCTAGCTTTACGCCTGAATTGGGAATGAAAAGGCTAGATGGAGAAGAAATACACAAAACCACAACAGCTCCCCACCCCATCAATCTCAAACACCTTCCTCCTATAGATCCAGCCACCACCACCACCAGTTCCCAGGTATAAAACTATAAAATTCCATCAATTATTCTCTTTTTAAAATGGGCACTGAGCAATTTTTGCTGTTGTTGGGGTCTTCATTTATCTACCTGTATATACTGCTCCGTGCTTAAATCTTTTTTTTCTTTTTCTGTCATGTGGTTTTTCGGATCAATAAGAAAGACAAGCAAACTATGAAGTATGTTCTAAAAGGCGCAAGGGAAGGACCCAAAGAGGAGCGGAAGCCGGCAAAGAAATTTGATGATGAAGCAAATACAGCAGCAGATATATTAGCAGAAATTAATATATCACACAACATCAAGACTCAAGCTGACTGCAGCACAATTATCAAGAACACAACAGAAGTGGGTGAAATTAGAAATGATGATAAAGCCTCTCGTAATGACTCAGGTAATTTTACCGATTAAAGACTAATAATTAGTTTACCAGAATTGTCTAGAAAATCTCTTGAAATGATAGAAGGGGTGGTTATAAAGTTGTCGGTGGAAGTGATTCTTTGATAAAGTTTGCTTCTCTTTTTAAAAGCACCCATTTGGATTTTCTAAGATTGACATTTGTTACCAAAATGTTTAGCTGGGCCGAAGGCATCTGCCAAATCACAATTGATGGCGACTTTTGCTGCAAACAAGTGGAAACCCCCTTTATTTGAATGTTTCAAGGAAGAAGGACCTTGGCATAAGAAATTGTAAGTAGAAAACGATACATAAATCTTGGTTAAATCAAATCAGTTTCTTTTATTTCTTTGGATAATTTTTTGCTCGTTCTCTAAAAGTTCAAAGCTTTTAAGTTCTGACCATTTCAAGATGCATACAGGTTTACCTATAAGATTGTAATGGAGATTGAAGGAGAAGCATCATCAACAGTGTTGGAGTGTTTCGGTGACCCTAAGTCCAAAAAGAAAACAGCAGCAGAAAGTGCAGCTGAAGGGGCCTTGTGGTACTTGAAGCATCTGGGTTATTTTCCAATCAAAAAGGTTAAAAAGAAAAAATAATTATTTATAGTTAGATTAATTAGGTCTAATTCTATATATATCCTAACATGAAACATCAGTAAAATTAAAGTTTACAGTGTCTAACCGATGTAATTAGAAATCGTACATGTTTCTATGTTGTATGTTGTAGCTAGAGATCTGCTGGTAGAGTAGGTGATTTTGCAGCAAAAACTGCTAGATTTAAAGGAAAAACAGAGAATTGTACTTGGATTTTTTCCTTTTAAATAGTCACATGAGGTGGCCTTTGAAGCCTTTTCCACTGAAGGGATTATTTTGAATACTATGATTCGGAAGCAGGTGGTTCAAGATGTCAAGGATTGATTAAGATAGTTGGAGAAGGAAATTATAAAACAGGTCTTGTTTTTTGAAAATGGAAACAAAATACGAAAAATTGAAAATGAAAGTATCTTTTACGAATTTGGCAGGATTTTATTTTTTGTTGGTTGAACCGGAATTATACTCTTAACAATTTCTTTTTTTAATTCATTGGGAAATTCGTTGAATTTTGGACTATGCAATGAGAATAGGTATTTTTCATTTTATAATAATCAAATAAATTAGGATCATTAAAAGTCGAATTTGTTTCTATCAATAAATCTACGCATACAACTCCATAGATTTTGGCATCCTCTAGACCCGAAGCAGGCATGGTCACCCAATTACTTTAGGGGTGAAGCTAGGATATGGAAAAAAGGTCTTAAAAAATATAGGGTTCTGGTAAAGATACTATAAATTTAATGGTACCTTTTATAATTTTTAAAAGCTTAATCTTCTCCGTAAGTAATGCCAAGGTGAAGCATAAACCAAAACTAGTAGTGTGAAAAGAGTTAGTTTAAGCTAAGAAAGAAGTAATTTGTTGGGGTTCTACTTTAACTTGGAAAGTCTTATTTCAGTATTTCCACATGATTTTGTATCTAATTTCACGGAATTATGAAAGTTGTGAGCCCTAAAATATTTTTTAACGCTAGATGGATACCGAAGATGAAATTAAAGATTAAAACCTCATCTTTTTGTTTTCGGTTCTGCATTTCTTTTTTCTTGCCAATTGCGCATAAATTAACCCTGTGTCTATCTCCAAAGATTTATATGATTCCCATCTCAAAATCAAAATCCAAATTAGAGATTCACCTCCACCACCAATTTGAAGAAAAGCTCAGTTCTGGCATGTGTTTTTTTGATAGCTATTTGGAGATTTTTGGCTAGATCTCTAATCCAATTGAGTTATTAGCATGCTCATTTTATGACACAGAAAATGCGAGCTTAGATTTTGGCTTCATTTTCATCTAACACCCACTTGATTCTACGTCAGTGAAAGCAAAACTGAGTATTGTGTTTGCGGTATGTCACGCTCACGGAGGGAGAAGACAATAGTGATCGCATGAGGGGTTACTCGTGATGAAGCTTTTGTTGTGATAAACCCCCTGTTTGGATAGGGATGAAAACGGGGGAGAGGAAAGAAAATACGATGGAAATGAAAATTTTTCCCCGTTTGGATTGTAGAGGAAACCAGAGGAAAGAAAAAAAATATTAAATAATGTAAAAATGGTGGGACCTATTTTCCTCCCAAAATTGGGAGGAAACGAGGAGAAAAATAACAATAAAACCTGCTAGATTTTTTTATTGCTATTTTTACCCTCATCTGCCTCATTCGTTGATTTGCCCTCACCCCACACTCATAGTATTGGTGTTTCATCACATCCAGCAAAAAAACCAATCCCAACCCACTCTTAGCCCAAAAAACAAATAACAACAACAATTAAATATCACAAGTAATGAAAAATCAATGACATATCCATTTTTCTTCAAGACCCAATCCACACTTAACCCAAAAAAATCAATCTAAAACTCACAAAACCAATCCCATAATATCATAACAAACATATTTACATAGCTAAGGGTTTAGATCCAAAGATGGGTAATGATAAAGACCTTCAAAAGGGAGCACCGCCATGAGGACGCAAGAGAGGGAGATCACCAAAAGAAACAGCCGAAGATGTAGAAGAAGAAGATGACTGCTCCAAGCGAGGATTGAAGCGTCTACTCCCTCGACCACCACCAGATCTTAAGCTTAACACCGTTTGATCACCTTGCTGCATAACTCGATCTTTCACTCGTTTTTAAATTTGAGTCTCCACCGTCCAATAAACAAAAAAAAGGAAAACCAAGAAAGTAACAGATTCAGCTGCTAATGACGATAATAACACTGAATCAAGATAGAGAGATAAAGAGAAAAGGAGTTTCGTAGAGAGAAAAGAGAGGATTTTTTTTGAGGGGGTTTTATTCTCTCTCTTCTGCAAAGAGCAAAGAAGAGGAGAGTTCGTGAGGTAGGTGGGTAAGAGGAATACCAAACCCTTCTATAGTTGGTGTTCTTTTTTTTTTTTTCCGGGTGCAATAATTGTTATGTAATTACGTCGGTGTCCTTGTTCTCGTCTGTTTGGGAATTGAATCAGCTAATTGAGTAAATTACAAATTAGCTTCTCTAATTTCAAGAAAAAAAAATTAGTCCCCTTCGGTTTAAAAAATATTATTTAATTTTTTAATTAGTAGACCATGCTTAATTTAAATTTTATTTTTATCTCACAAAATCTTTTATTTTATCATCAATTTTTTTTTCTTAAATAATTTTTTCTATTCCTTAAAAAAAAATCAAAATAAATTAAAAAAGTAAAAAAAAACTAAATTATAAGTAAATTTTAAAATATAAGAACTAAATAATTAATTTTTAAAATGAGAGAGACTAATTAATTTATTTCTCAAAAAAAAAATAATAAACATCGACTAATGTGACTTTTTGGATTTGGTGAAATTTATAGCAAAACTTTTGTTTTCTCTCGTAATATTTTTTAAATCATCAAAAAGTCTATAATATTACTCAGCCTCGAAAGTGTTACTAACAGACCCCGAAAACCCTTACTGAGCAACTCCTTTGAAAATGCCATTTGAACCACCAAAGAAGCTCCAAAAACACCCCTATACCGAGTTCAAAACTATCAAAAAAACGCCTCAAAAAAATCCATCAAAATAAACACAAAATATCTCTCAAGACAGACCCCTCGAACACTTTTTGGAGTTACCGCAAATGAAGAATAAAAAATTATTTGTGATTTGTCTCATTTTTTATGATTCAATTGACTTTTCATGATTGTTTACAATATTACCATATACTCTTTTTTTTAATTGCTAAATAGTAATTGTTTATTCTAAAAAAATAAACGAAGAAAATGATAGGTAAAAGCAACTAACTTATTATATGCATAGATAATAATACATGTTATACTTATTTAAATTAATTTTATGTTGATAATTAATCTAAATTGGCTATTGAATTAATTAATTAATAAACGGTTATCGATTATTCTATGGAGACGATTCATTATCTATCTTATCATTTCGGATATATGCTACATGTTAGATTTTTATTTTATTATCATTTGTGTTATTTTCATGAAAAAAATATTCATATAAATTTATTATAAGTATTTAAATATAGAAATATAATCACATGGGTATTATAATAAATATACCATAATATATTTTCTTTCCTTCCTCTTTTTACAATTATCCAAACAAGGGAAATGTTTTTTCTTTTCTTTCCTTTCCACTCTTATCCAAACAACAAGTGGAAAATGATTTTCTTTCCTCACTTTTTTCTTTTCTCTCACTTTCTTTCCTCTCCTTTCTTTCCTCCCAAGAGGAATTATCCAAACAAGGGGAAAAGGTATTTTATTTTTTATTTTTTTCAATTGCCTAACTCGTTGGCAATAATATTACCGGCTATGTGGATGATTTTGGTAGCTAGCATTCCTCGTGAATTCATACTAATTATTTCAAATTTCGAGTATTAATAATAACATAATGAGTTAAAATTATTTCTATATTTATTATGCATTAAATCAATTTAAATTCAATAATATATATATATATATATATATATATATATATATATAAAGAATTGCTGGTCATGAGATGTTATCCATTAAAACTTCATCATCATAAATTTAACTAAACCGTTGTGGGGAAAGAAACTACGGTTTCTACTCCATTAATGTTGAAAAGGTTTGCCCACGAGTCGAGTCATTAAGCCTTAGGTGGCGGCCATAAGGGGCTAGAGTTAGGATTGTTAGGTAAACCCGGGAGGTCGAAGGCGAGAGAGTATCACATAACCGTGATCTCTCCACCAAATTCTAATATTTAGATTTTATGGTTACATCACTTACGGGTTTATCTTCACTTTTTAAATTCAGATTTTTGCATGTTCTTTAAAAATAATATATATATATATATATATATATGCGATACTCTCCGCCTTCGACCTCTCGGGTTTACCTAACAATCCTAACCCTAGCCCTTTATGGCCGCCACCGAAGGCCCGATGACCCGACTCGTGGGCAAACCTTTTCAACATTAATAGAGTAGAAAACTGCAGTTTCTTTCCCTACAACAGTTTAGTTAAATTTATGATGATGAAGTTTTAATGGATAACATCTCATGATCAGCAATTCTTTATATATATATATATATATATAACTACCATGAGTTCATACTCCATTCAAGTAACGTAATTATGACAAAACTAACGAACTACAAACCGTAATCCACTTAATTTGGAAAAAAGAAAAAAAATGAATGTTAAGAGTTCATTGATTGAAAATTTTTCTATGGTTAGAATGGTAGAAATTGATCACCAATGGATATGATTTCACGGTAAAAGAGTTATGTCAAATTTTATAGGCCTAATGAGAGAAAAAAGAGAGAGAAGAAGTTTTGGTAAAGTTGTTACTCATTCAACTTAGAGAAGAAGAAAAAGTATTATAAGAGTCACATAATTTCACATGTAACGAGTTGACTTAACTTTATGTTTTGCTTCGTGATACTATGAGCCATCAAACTTTGCTTTTTAGATTTTCAGCTAATCAAAGAACTTTCCAAGAATATACATAATCCATAAACTGATTTTCTTGTTTCATGATAGTCAACCTAGTCATTGTCCGAGAATGACTTTAATTGAAGAACCGACTTGATCGAAAATAACAAACTTTGTCCTAAGTGCAACCTTCAAATACATAAGCACCATATAAGCAATTTGTAAATGAACCAAAGCAAGTTTGTCTACAAAGTGAGCAAGAACATGCATTACATAACAAATGTCGGGTTTGCTAAAAGTCAAGTGTAAAAGTTTGCCTACTAATTGCTTGTATTCAATAAGATCGAGTAAAAGATCCTCTTAAATATACAACAAATTTTGTTTAAGATTCATAAGAGTGGAGCCAAGCTTAGACTCGGAAAAGCCATACTTATCGAACAATACCAAAACATATTTTCTCGTGACGACTATCAATTCCCTTTTGTGACCTAGCCACTTCAATACCTAAGAAGTGCTTAAGTAAACCAAGAACTTTAAGTTTAAATTTCATACTAAGAAACTACCTTAGATCGACTATGTCAAAATCAAAATTGCTAGCAATCATAATGTCATCCACATAAACCAGACAAATCAATAAAGTTCTACGAAGTAGTATGCTTTGTGAACAAAGAGTAAATTACCTTGGATTGCTAAAAACTATATTTAACCAAAACCATAGTAAATTTAGCATTTCATTATCGAGAAGTTTGTTTTAAACCATACAAAGATTATAGAGCCTACAAACTAGTTTACGTGAGCTATACATATATTTCCTCTTAAGTTTATAACTAGGTGGAGGATATATAAACATTGTTTCTTCTAGATCACCATGCAAAAAAGCATTATTAATGTCTACTGGAGAGAGATACCAACCTTTAATAATAGTCAAAGCTAAAAACAATCGATTGTCGTATGTTTGGCAACAAAACTAAATTTCTCTAGGTAATCAAATTTATCAACTCGAATATACCCTCTTACGACTAGTCTAGCCTACCTCTCAATGTTACCATCAACTTTAAGTTTAAATTTATAAACCCATTTACTACCTACCGTGTGATGACCTACGGGTAATGAAACCATAGACTAAGTATTGTTTTTCTCAAGAGCTAACAACTTAGATTTTACAACTTCTTTTTAGTAGTCAAATTTCACGACTTGTGAATATATTTTAGGTTCAAATATGTGTGATAATAAAATAGCAAATACAATATGAGAAGAAAAAAGTTGAGAAACATATATATATTGATGAATAGGATATGAAATGGAATGAGAGATTATTATAAGAAATAATCGTTTTAGAAGGAAGAAAGTGAGTAAAAGCTTCTAAATATGTAAAACGTTTAGTGGTTCTATTAGATTTTCTTAAAGGAGGTCGAGAAGGAACAATAACGAGTAGGAAAAGAAGACTCATGAGAAACAAGATGAGAATAACCAAAAGGAGAAGACCGAAAGATAGAATTTATATGAAATGACTCGATAGGAATTAGTAAGCTCAATAAAAAAATCACTATGAAAAATAGAACGAGAAGGTTCAATATTAGTAAAATCAAATAAATTGGATATGGATGAAGAAGAAACATTGAAGACAAATTATGAGCAAAAGAAAAGGAAGAAAAAATAAAAATAGAAAAAAGAAATATAATTTCATGGACAATGACATCTTTAGAGGTAAAAACTTTATGAGAAACAAATTCATAAACTCTATATCCTTTAACTCTAGGAGGATAACCAAGAAAGACACATGGTAGAGCTTTTGAACGAAATTTCTTTTAATTGTTAATAAGAGTAGAAATAAAACATAAAGATCCAAAAATTGTTAAATGATCATAATGTGGTGAAGATTTGAATAGAAGTTCATAAAGAATTGAGTTGTCTAAATAAAGAAAAGGAATTATGTTGATCAAATATGCGGTAGTAAGAATTGCATCCTCTAAAATTTTAAAGTCAAGGATGTTTGGAAAAGAAGAGATCTAACTACGTTTAACAAATATTGATGTTTTCTTTAAACAATAGCATTTTAATGAGGGGTCCCTATACAATATAATTGGTGGATGATACCTTTAGAAGCATAGAAGAGTATGAGGTGAAATTCAATACCGTTATCATATCTTATTTATTTGATAGGATAATGAAATTAAGTAAGAATCATTTGGTAAAATAAAGGAATAATGAATAAGGCATTTGACTTATACTTAAAAAATGATTATGAATAATCAATTTAATCCTATCATATGCTATATGGCCTAATTTTTAATGCCATAGATTAGAAACAAAATAATTTATAAATCTATCATCGATTGTTTAAACATTACAAGAATGTCTAATAAAAGAATAAAAAAGTTTGAATAGACTAGAATAAGAACAATCTTACTTGAAGATTGGCAATTATAATTATTGCTTATTAAGAGTTATCCTGAATCACATGAGAATTATCGGAGAATATCGAGTTTGTAATGAGTTAGATGTAAGCTTACTAACTAAGATAAGATTAAATTGAAAAGAAGGAACATAAAGGACATCATATAGAAGAAATGAGGATGATCATAGATAGACTTGATCAATATGAGTAACAATAGCTTAGTGCCATTTGGTCTTTGGATTGTCATACTAAAAACAAGTTTATAGGGTTTAAAATATTTAAGAAAACATGATATATGATCAGTTACACTTGTATTGATAATCCAAGTACAAAGATTAAATAAAGGTACAATACTTTGTGAATGACAACAAGTAGACATAATAAAAATGTTACTTGTAAGATCGAAAATAGGTTAAGAGTGAGATGCAATAAAAGAATTAGTATGATTAGAAGGTCTGTGATGATGAAGCTTGTGAATTTTAAACACTTAAAAGAGCTATGAGCTTAAAAACTTGCTCTTGAGAAAACAAAGTAATAGGAAATGTGATTTGAATAGGCTGAACAATATTCGAGCGGATGTAGAACCAAATTCCTTTTATTATGATGTGACATTATTGACATAACGAGAAGAACTTCCATAACTATGACTAAAGCTAGAAATAGAAACAACACGTCTAGAAGAACCTCTATTACCACTTAAAATTTTATTCTTGGTGAATTTGAAATCCGTAGAAAAACCAATGAGCCAATAGCATTTGTCTTTACTATGACCAAGTTTCCATAATAAGAGCGAGATAATATCCATCCTTTTTTTTATTGTTGGAGAAAACAACCATAATAAAACATTCATTCAAAAGTTGATTCAAAACTTGAATAGAGCTGCGAGACTCTTCTCTTATAACCAAGTTATAGACCTCATCTACACTCATAAATAGTTTTATAACCAGAACTTGAGATTTTAATAAAGTAATGACTCGTTCAATCCATTGAGAAACTTAAACACTTAATCCTTTTTATAAATTTCTACAAACTTCTAAAAATAATAAGTATTGTATCTTCCATAACTATAATAAAGTAAAGACATAAAGTTTCTCAATTCTTTCTATGCTCCGTTAAGTTTAGCAAAATAAGAATTAGCAAACTTAGTACTTTGAGTAATTAGACATAAAGATCATTGCAAATTAGAAATTCTAATCTCATCTAGCCGTGAGAATCTTTTCTTTAAAACTTTCTAATTGTTTGAACTGAATTCATATAGAACACTATTACAATAATAGGAGGTGGCATTGATCTTAATAATCAAGCCATAACTAAGTTATTATATTGATTTTAGGAATTGAAAAGAGGATCATCATCTTTGGATTGAGAAATAGAACCATTAACAAAAACTAATTTTTTGTGAATTAAGAGAGTAAGAATAAAAGATATGCTCCAAGTAGCATAATTCTCTATAGCTACTTCGGGAGTAATTATAAGAAAACTATGGTGATTTGAGTGATGAATGAATGATAGAGAACGAGGATCATCAAGCGATGAAGTTACTTCATCCATAGAGAAATGATAGAAAGATTATAAAAACAAATTGAAATAAGAATGAAATCAATGAAATCGAACGAATAGAAATTCAAAGATATTTCGATTTTTGATACCATGTTAACTTCTTCTTTTTTAAGTCATACACCCAAGGCTCCTAGCGGAATTAGTTTGCTAGGATTTGAACCGATGATCTCTTGTTACAAGAGACTATTACCATCGGTTTATAAGTTTTTTGGTGATACCATGTTAACTTCCATGGCTGAATGCGAGAAAAAAGAAAGAAGAATTCTTGGTAAATTTGTTACTCATTCAACTTAAAGAAGAAGAAGAAATATTATACGTAATTGTTGCTATTTATACAAAACTAAACTTAAAACTAACACTATAATTAACTTAACTAACTAACTACGCACATATGGCATTATCATTAACGATATGAATATGTGGCATTATCTTATAATATGATAAGTTGTTCATTTTGATCAAGATTAAAGTTTAATTTTTATTACTTATAAATAATTAGTCATAATTATCTCTTAGTAGTATTGAATTTAAAATGATATGGCTTAAAAAATAATCTATTAATCAATCAAAAGCTAAATATATTCGATACAAGCTTGAATTATTGCACATTAGATGTGGTAACTCGAAAGATCAAATAACTATCCCACTTTCTATCCCTAAAAAAACGGATAGTATTTTCTTATTGGGTTAAAGGTTCGGGATATCTCTCTATTATTTCGAATGTTTTAATCGTGTCTCTTTACTAAATTTTTAGCTATCATGTCCTTTATTCTTAATTGCGTCTATATTTGATCTATCCGATCACTTTTTCGAGCAAGGGAAACAAAAATAACAAAACAAAAAATATTAAAAATTATCTCCGTTGCTTGAAAAAGTGATTGAAGGAACTAAATATAGATATAATTAAGAGTAAAAGAACACGACAGTTAAAAATTTTAATAGAATGACACGATGAAAACATTTGAAACGATAGAAAGCCATATTGGACCTTTTAATCCTTTGTTACTAGAAAATTACTTGAAGTAATTATCCGTATATTTTGTTGAAATTAATTTATTGGAGACGTTTAACAACAATCAGAGTGGCGCAGCGGAAGCGTGGTGGGCCCATAACCCACAGGTCCCTGGATCGAAACCAGGCTCTGATAGTAGAGAGTGGCTTCCTGTGCGTTTTTTGAAGTTCTTTTTTTGTTTTTTTTTTCCAACAAAACTCTTCTTTACTTCTATATCCCTTCCGCAATCGTGCACTAAAAGTTTTATCCTTCCTTCCAAAATTTTGACGTAGTTGCCGAATTTCTTGTTCAGTCAGAAAAAACTGCGCCTGCCTCTAAGTATAAGATTAATTCGATCTCTGTTTCATAGATCCTCAACTTTTTATTAAGATATCTTTCAAGTTACGAAATCCAATTAATACTACGATGCTTCAAATCCTGGGCATCTGAAGAACGCAATATTTAGAAGACATGAATCTCATAGTAAGATGGGCACAGCCGAGAGCTAGAAGAAAATATAACAAAATGCAAAACTGCTACTTAAGAACAAGAAAAGAAACTTGACAATTGAGATGCTAGAAGCAAAAAAGGGGGAATCACATTAATTAATAGTGCATGTGACACTCAGAGTGCATGTGACTCTCACAGAAACCGATAGCAGCAGATACTATGGTATGATGGTGAAATTCAATTTCGGGTTTTTACTCCCAAACCTTGCACCTTACAAACTAATAATCAAAATTGTCAAAAGAAAAATGACATAGATTAATAACCTAAACCCTATAATCTAGGTTTCCCTCCCCATCTCCTAAAAAGAAACTCTGCTAAAAAACTGACCTTTTCTCATTCAAACAGTGTAGTGTTGTTGAATGGTTTCTCTCCCTCAGCCTGGAACAGAAGAGAGCATGAGTAGAATTAACATGTACAAACATATAAAGGAAATAAATTGTTCATAGTGAAAACCAAAAGCTTCGTCAATCGTTACCTATCAACTTCAGCACGCCTCTTGGCCTGTTCAGCAATATCAGACAAGTCTCTGTGGCTACTCTTATCTTGGAAGAGTTCTGAGCCTTCAGGAGGATGCAGTCCACGAATGGTACGTTGATCAGCAGCCCATTGTGCCATCCTCTCTCTTTTTCCATAATCCTTCTTTGAGGTGAAAGCAGTCTGCATAATCAAGCGTAACACAGGGGAGAAAGTTTCTAAATGAGACTTGAAATTCTTGCACATCGAAGATTTATAGAAAAAACAAATGATTGCGCTGACCTTATTCTGAAGGAGATTATCCCAGGCTTTGCCACTCAAAGCATAGCGGATTATGAATTTGAGTAAATCAAGAGGGATGTAGAAGATAATGCTGTAAAGCCAGATGACACCTGCCCATCCCCATCCAATACCATGGATTCTCGCAAATTCCCAATTGCAATACACAGTGATGGGTGTTGCAATCTTAAAGGTAAACCAGAAACGTACGTCATTAGTTTGTTCTTTCACAATACACAATGAAAAAATCCGGGAACGAAAAGTTCTAAACAACTCACCAGTTGTGCGAAGACAAAGGCAATCGCAAGGAAACCACCGGGGCATTCAACAAAAGACCAACTTCGGGACCTAGTAACAAAAATGAGTGCCTGACTGACAATACTCACTTGTAGGTATACAGCTGATGTCAGCTCATAAGGGCTGTTCCTGATGGACCTAACTCCAAATTTATCCAGCAAATATTTACAGTGTGCAATCAAATATTAGTACTACAGAAAGTTGCAGCAAGGAACAAGCATTACAAGTTCTTGAAACCACATATGCTTTATAGAAACATAAACAGCATGATAAAGCCATGTGCTGGTTGTAAGGTTCATCGTATTTCTTACAGAAAAGAAGTCAGAACTGTGAGCAATCCAAAAGAATACAACAGTCATTAGAGCTAAGTAGGTGCCTAGAATGACACCAGTAGCAAATATCTCCTGAAGCTTCCAGGAATCGGGATGTGGAGATGGTTTCACTCGGTCTTTGGAAATAGTCATGATTGTTCCATCGTTGAGTATGGCAATGATCAGAACCATGAAAGGAGAAAAATCAAATTTCCAAATTAGAGCAAGGAGCAGAAAACCTAGCACGACACGGATGGTTATAGAGACTGCATAGATGGTGTAATTCTTCATTCTCTGGAAAATGGCTCTGCTTGTTAACACAGCACTCACAATCACACTCAATCCTGGCTCTGTCAGGACTATGTCAGATGCACCCCGGGCTGCATCAGTAGCATCGGCCACTGCAATTCCAATGTCTGCCTTCTTCAATGCTGGCGCGTCATTTACACCATCTCCAGTCATCCCGCAAATGTGCTTCCTAGCTTGCAGCCTCTTCACAATCTCATACTTGTGCTCTGAATGTTTGATAATTAATTAAATTCATTGATATGTTGATTATGCATAAAATGAAATAACCAAGATTATTTATTTCTTCAAGGAGAAAAGGCAAGATGATAAATTCCATCTCTCTTAATATATTGTTTTATACAATTATTCCATGTCTCACGAGCTAATTCCAAAATGTCGAATAAATCCATTTAATAAATGCTTATAAAGGCTTTAACTTGTAAGAGCATCCGGATTTTGTTTATTAGAAGAAAATAAACTTAGATGCTGCTACAGTGAGGGAAGCATCTAGATCCCTGTAAACCACATAAATGACGTTCAAAACAGTAGAATTTAGTCCTATTACCAGGGAAGACACCAGCGAAGCCATCAGCCTTTTCAATAAGCTCATCGACAGGAAGGGCTGCAGTTGGCGCATCCGGGTGCTGCCCAAGGAGAGCAGAAGAGGGATACATATTAGTCCCCATCCCAAGCCTCCGACCAGTCTCCTTGCCAATTGCGAGCTGATCACCAGTGATCATCTTAACATTGACACCTAGATTAAGGGCACGAGTAATTGTCTCTGCACTATCATGCCTTGGAGGATCAAAGAGAGGCAACAGGCCCACAAATTCCCATGGCCCTCCAGGGCTTTCCTTGGTTTTCTCTGGGACAATCTGCAAAGGCAAGATAGCTGAATCAGATAGAGTTCCGTTTAACACTTTAACGTGTCAATTCGAAAAACAATTCTGAGGAAATGAGAATATGAACTCACTTGTCTACAAACAGCTAGAGAGCGGAGCCCTCGTTCAGCAAACTTATCAATGATGGCAAGAGCTTTTCTTTCCACATGTTCCCGGAGGTTGCACAACGCAATGATCTGTTAGGAGATTTTAAATGCCATAGATGATATAGTGTAGTAAAAGGGAGGGAAGAAAAAAGCAATACGAGGTAATAGATAATCTATAACCTGCTCAGGGGAGCCTTTGCTAACTCTGTGCCAATTGCCATCAGAGTCAATATATGTTATAGCTGTACGCTTCTCTACTGGATTAAATGGCAAAAAATGCACCTCGGTAATGCTTGCTCTGGCCTGCATAAATTCATCATCAGGCTTTCAGTTATATTCAAAGGTCATAAGAACCTAACTCTTTGACATGGCGAGTGAGGTTAACATGCAGGTTGGGAGTAATACTCTATTGACAACTTTCAAACTAGGGAAAGCAAGCTTGATTGCCAACAAACTAAGATGAAACTGCAGCACATTAGCTCCAGTTAAACAACAAATGCTTATCAAGGATCAAACTATGATTTTAAAGTCTGATTCTGCTTCTTTCTTGTCTAGCATGATGCTACTAGTCATCATCTCGTCCATTTTCTCTCTTCAGCGAGATCATGGAGAAATTTGTGTTGCAACAGCTGTGCTTCATCTTAATAAAATGTCCGCAAAGGCAATCCTTTTCTTTTTATCAGCCCAGCTTGTAAAGAAATTTAAAGTTAGGAAGCACAGCATATTAGTGCCCTCAGAAGGCTTGAGAGAAACAGGGAAAACGAGAAGTGTTGACATATCTCAACTGTAATATTATTACCTCCTTGGGATCCGCCAACATCCCGACAATACATGCATCAATAGCATCCTGATTCTCAACTCTGGAGGCCCTAGCCCCAAGCAAAATCACAGTGTCTTTGTCGACATCCTTAGTAAATACCTGAAAATTAAACATAAGCATCAATAATCAGTGATTCAACAAAGAATGAAACATTGGGAGGGATAATTCTCAATAATAATAATAATAATAACCACATATAAATTAATGACTGCCTTCCATCCTAAAACTGATGAATTCCATATAACTTCAATGGCGATGCTCTAGATATTTTTTTTTTTTACTTATCATAATTTTGCATACTAACCTCAACCAAGCTCTTGTCTACTGTAAGTTTGTTAAGAGTGAGGGTACCAGTCTTGTCACTGCATAGTACATCCATTCCAGCCATTTCTTCTATAGCCGTCATCCTCTTCGTGATAGCACCTTGCTTGGAAAGCCAGTGGGATCCAATGGCCATTGTCACTGACAACACGGTTGGCATGGCGATTGGGATCCCTCCAATGAGAAGCACCAAGATGTTGTCAATAGCAGCTCGGTAACTGCGGTTCTGAATTGGCCACATTACGATTCCCTCTATTATTATTCCCACTGCGATGGAGACTATGCAGAAGTTTCCAATGGATATCAACACCTGATCAAACCATACCAACATCAAGCATTGATCAGAAAAAAGAAGAAGATCAGAAGACAGTTAAAAAGTGCAGTAATGAAACTTTAGAACCTGCAACAATGATGTCTGTGATTTGTTACTAAACATCCTTATAGTTCAAATTTCGTTATTTCAAAAATTAAAACATAAGCTTCAATATTTAATAATGTAACAATTTGTAGCATTACTTGATTGTTTCTTCAGCTGATTTCAAATTATGGTAGCATACTCTTTCTCATTTTTCTTTATGAAGCAATATTAACTCCCTTCTGCTGTTTTTTTATCTCATAGTCGACTAAATTTTTTTTCCCAGTTAGCTCTCCAGACTAAGTACCTTTTGGAAATGCCCCACTTGATCGGTGCTGTCTACAAGATGAGCAGCTTTACCAAAAAAAGTGTGCACGCCAGTGGCAATCACAACAGCTTCAATCTCACCATGCTTGCAGGTAGACCCAGAGAAGATTTCATCACCTGGCTTCTTTGTAGCTGGCAAAGACTCACCAGTGAGAGCAGACTGATCAATTTTAAGCGGGTCGCCCTCCAGGAGACGAGCATCTGCTGGTATAATGTCTCCCAGCTTGATACTGATCACATCCCCTGGGACCAAGACAGCAGCCTGTTGCTCGATCCACCTTCCATCTCTCAAAACCTGCAAACAGAGTGATTAACATTATCGAAAACATCTAAGTGCTAGATGTTCTTTATTTATTTTTTATTATTTAAGTAACTGCAGACTTCCAAATAAAGCGAGCGAGTGACATGCTGGTGTGGATATATCATACCTTGGTTTTCAGGGCAAGACCTGCCATAAGAGCAGCTGCAGCATTGCCTGCAGTATTCTCTTCATAGAAACTTATCGTTGAGTTGATGAGCAGCAATACCAAAATACCCACAAAGTCCTGCCAGTCTGGTGGCTTGCCCTGCATTTATATTAATTCACAGAGATAAATTGACTGCTTACGAACAACTACAACTGAGAGATCAAAAACACCAAAAGAGAGACAAGAATAAATGCTAATTAACCTGTCCGTTTGCCATGATAATAGCCACCATAGCAGCACCCTCCATGACCCATGAGAGTGGGTTCCACATAAAACTCAAAAACTTCAAAAACTTGTTCTCCTGTTTTGAACAATCCAGGTTATCAGTTATTCCATCTTACAATTTTTTAAAAAAAAAAAAATGGAAAATTGGAGATTTTTTGCCTTTTTCTCTTGTAGCTTGTTGGGACCAAAAATTTGAAGCCTCTTCTGGCTTTCCTCCGTTGACAGACCCTCGTTCGTGCATTGCAGTTGTTGAAACACTTCCTCAACTGGAATACGCTCCTGTAATTAAATTCCAAAATCAATAAGTTATATAAATCTCCATTATTTTAAAAAATTAATTTACCGAAGTACTTAATTAAGAGTATCCAGTCTCACCAAATTATCATGCTATTATACTTCATGAATCATGACTAGTAAATAATTTAAAAACAGCAAATACTCCATGAATTGAATCACAGAGAAAATCTGCTTAAATAGATTACGTCCCCACTATATGTAATAAATTATTATAAATAACACTACGCGAATATTAAATTTGAAAAGAAGAAGCACGAATATTAACATGTGATTAAATTAATCTAACAATAAAAGAATTTATGAGAAAAAATTGAATAATCAAATTTTAAACTAAAGCAGTATATGGTTAATTAATTCTTTTAAATGATCGAAACAGCAACTTATACGTAATGGTAATAATGGAATAATATTAAAAAAAAAATTCTTCGACTCTTGAAAACAAAAACACAAAAAAATAAACGGGTAAATAAAAATTTTCAAACAGTTTAATGATAGACAAGTTAACAAAAACCTGAACGTACAATAACACATAAAACAGAACTCTAATCTCTTAAAAACAAAAACTGCAAATCATAGCAAATAAAACAATAAAACGAAGATCCATATATCGTAAACACTTTTTCAAAGCGGAAGCAGTAAGCCTACGTAACAAACAGCAACTACTACAACAAGACTTTAAAAAAAATGGCGTAGCTAAACACGACTTATATTATGGAAGCAGAGAAATGAAAACAGAGATCCTAACCAAATAGGTTATCTGCAACGATCTACAAGTGATAATCTCATCGATATCAGAGTGTGTGCTTCTGTACATAGTATATAAAGGAAACAACTACACACAGGCTTCAGAAATAGAAAATAAAAGAAGAAAAAAGAGGAGGAATATTCTCACAAGGTCGACGTTCTCGTTGTTGATTTCCTGCAAGCTACAACCCTTACCATTGGCGGTGGTGGCTGTGGTAGCTATGTCGTCGTAGCCGTCGTCAGACATTTGGATAGATATCAATCGCTAACCTCGCAACCCTTCAGTAACCTAGCTAGCTACCTACCTACTCACATTTCACGCAAAGAAAAGGAGAGGTAAAAAAAAAAAAAACACTTAGCTCATTCTAATTTATACGCAGAGTTATTGACTCAAACTTAGTGTCTCGATTATTTAGTAGTCTATTAATTCGGTGTTTGTCTTCTAAAGATGAAATTACACTACACCCTCACCAGTACTGCTCTCTTGACTCTCTCAACTTTTTGAATCCATCCCAAAATGAGGCGAACGACCTGTGGGTCCCCGTTAGCCCTGGTCATTTAGGTTTTGGCCTTTTTATACTATTTGCCTACGCTGTTCTCACGGTCTCCTACTAGTTATTCCCATGACCGTCAAGTAGCATAACGACGCTTGTAACGTTTGTTGCTCTTGGGACACGTGGTTGGATTTTGTTGGATCTGTGGCTTTCGGCGTTTTGAAATTGAGGCGTCAGGTGAGCGTTTATGGGAATGATCCCCAAACATGCCTGAAACATGCTCAGGTAACAAAACTAAAGACACAGGAGGTAATCGTTTTGCTTTCATCTCGGTTAAAAAATGAAGATGATTCTCTTAACTACGCGGCTAGGGTGCATTAGTTGGATTTCCTTCTTTTTTCAGTGGGCGCTGTGAAGTGAGCATGATCGTCTAGCGTCAGGTGCAAGTATCCTTGGGCACATGTTAAGATCACAGCGGTGTCGCGGGGAATATTTCGACATGTGGGATATGAGGGTTGATAGTTTGGTGACATGGCATTGAGTGATTGGGTTGTTACTTGTAAGGAGGTTTACTAATGAGGGGAATTGTTGTGCGGAGAATGATAGAAACGGATTCTGTTCACGAGAAACTTACGTGCATGCAAGGAAGGCTCTCCAAGGCGACGGGACACGTAATAGAATAGAATCAAAAGATAAGGAATGATTTATTTATTTATTTTTGTAATAAAAGGAAAAGTAATTAAGTATGTAATGGATAAAACTAGAATCGATTGAAAATCTTCATTCACCTCGGACCGATTGAGATTGAAATTAATTAATATTGAAATAGATGTATATAATGGATATAAATAGAAATACATGGAAAAACAATAAGAAAAATCGTGATCTTTTACTCTCGCCACCGCAGCCCAAAATCACGGACACCTACTGATGAGCCTAGATTGATAGTTTGGAATTACAACGCTAAACCACGCAGCCCACCAAGGGGCATTGGCCCATTCTTTGATGACAACAGAGATGTTGATTTTACTTTCACTCGGCCATTTCTTTTAACAAGACCAAAGAATGCACAAATCGAAAATGGGCTTCGGGCACAGGGTCATCCAAATTCTTTTTTTTTTTTTTTTTTTATTGAGAATTTATCCAGACTATTCATATAGTGGGATTATTTAAATTGATTTCTCAAAATAATATGCTGATATAACGTGGAAAAAAAGAAGCATTATACTGTGGAATGGAAGTTTACACTGGAATAGGTTTGTACCACTCCTCTAATTAATAAAATATATTAATCATTTGAGAGGAACATACAATATAAAATAATGTGTACATAAAATTAAGAATAAAATAGTACATACATACAAATAAAGAAATATTGCTATTTATATAAAAGGATACTAATTTGATTGTGTGTGAAGGACTGATCGAAACCCCCTTCTGATTTAGCTTTGTGTTTGCACAACTTTAAGGGATTATGATCAAGTCAAAGACATCGATATATACAATGCATGTGAGATCCTATTATTTACAAGTTTCCCATGAAAGCATACTATTTTTATTTTTTCTTCTAAATTTCCTTTTTTCTCTCTTTTGGTTTGAGATGGGAGATGTGAGGGGATCAGGGGACCAAATTTTTCAAAATTTTAAACAATCTTGATGAATTAAGGATCCAGCAAGGAAGAATCAATCTTCCTCTTTCTATCAACTATTCTAATTTTTCTCTCGCATTGTGACAAGGTATATATGGTGATGGTAACATTGTTTTTTAGGGCTAATGGTCAAGTATGGTCGACCTAATAATACTACTAATAATGATAATAATATAAAAAAATCTCACAATCACAAAGTATTTTAGCCTCGAATGAGCAAAGTCGTCTTAATTAGCAACATGCCAACATGGTATAGAACAGTAGATCAGATGATAAGTAGTGTTTATACAAATGATCAGCCTCACAAAACTACACATGCATATCCTTATCTTATATATCTTTTGCATTTAAGTGAGAGAAAAAAGGATCAGCAATATATAGCACCAATCTACATCGCGTACTAATTATGTAGCCAATCTCCAAAAATGGTGCCCTTTTGCCTCTTAACCGTGGAATACGATAAAGGGTAAGCTAATTAAAGCCAATGTGCCTGCTTGATGCGGGGAGACAAACTGTTGAAACAACAATGGCTATTTGGCTGCATGCCATGTGAAGAATTGGAAGAGGGAACGCAAAAGGATAAATCTAAATCAATGTAAGCGCAAATGATATTCGACAGATCCTGAGAAGGGTGTACTTCAAAAGGTTATTAAAAGGGATCAAGAAGGAATAAGGAAAGGGGAGTGCTTTAACACAAATGTAGGGATCCTACCAATTATTTTCGATCTAACTAATTAAAGAGAAAGGTACTAGACCTTGTAGTGTGTAATTTGTACTATATACCCATACGTGGAGAGAGAGAGAGAGAGAGAGATGGTACACACATATCTTTGTCCCTTTAGCGTACTTATACCACAAGAAGGTGTGACTAAAACCATGTGCAATTCCAACATGCACATGCAACTAGAGAGCACACTATTCAGATAACATGGTTTTGCATGTGAAGGAATGGGGGTGGAGCAAAAGAAAGGAAGGGACAAACAATTTTGGTTATAGTTTTGTCTTGAAACGCTAGCTATTGTGTTCGTTTCATTCTACTCCCAATTGCTTTTTGATTCATCAAGTATATTTTTGAATTAGAAAATAGAGATATGGGGAGTGCTTTGGCTTTTGTGGGAGTACTTGACCACCAACCTTAAAAAAAATAGTTGGCGGATCTTTTGTCTTGCTCACTCAATTCCAAGTATCTAAATCCAATGATAAAACAGCTCCAAAGTTCAACATGGGATTGAAATGGCCATGATTATGATTTTCACCCCGATAAATTCCTCATAATTGTCCCCCCATGATTTGGACATCAGATTCCATGCACTATATAGGATCATTATTCTTCACTGTTTTTTTCTTTTTAGCATTTTAAGGTAAAAAGATCACCTTGTATGGTATGTAATTATTTTGTCATTCTACCACATGAACGAAATGTGCTTTCTTTCATGTATAGTTACTATATATCGATCATCACAGATTAAGATTTCCTTTATACATGTTATATATGTGGAGACTTGGTGATCGGTTGCTTTTTACAAACTTAGATTGATTTAGAAACTTTATATATATATATGCACATGTAAATTATGAAAACTATTTCTTGAAAATAAGAAAAGTGATTGAATCATATATAAAAATAGATTTATAATCTATTAGTTTAGACTGTAGTAGATATAGATCTATGTGCGAACCAAAATGATTCCTCAATACATATTTTTCTAAAATAGATAAAAATTTAATTCGAGGCAAAAAAATTGTCATTAAACAACTTGGAAGAATTAGGAATGGCATAATTATGCTGCTGAGGGGTTATTGGAGCATTTCCAGTTGTTAATGGTTCGTGGGGGACAAAATCAATTCCCAAATAGATGATGATTAATCATGAAGCATGTGGTTAGATTAGAGGGATGGATCCCACCATTATTTGGAGGATTAATTAATAAAATAAAAACATAAAGTGATGAAAACAAGAAGACAGAAACTGTAGTATCCTTCAGCTACCCCTGCATATTTTACATGCCATGCACAAGTATTTTGGTGAAAATTAACAATTCCAAATCAGGAGCAAAAGTAGACGTTCAAATAAGACGCGAAAGCAAAACGTCAGTAATTCGAGTATAAAAGTTAATTGCAAATGTAAATTTTATAGGAAGATTATCTAACAAGGAAATTAATTTATCATATTTCTTATCATTACACACTATAGCTGATATTTGATCTACTATATTCAAAGTCACAAGAAACAATTATTGGTAATTTCTACTAATTTTATTTTTAATATAGCTTATACTAGATTTTTTATCCGCACTATACTTGTAAGTTGGATAAAATATATAAAATCGTTTAGAAAAATTATTTCGGTTTAATAATCTGTTTTATGGTAAAAAATAATTATAATTTTTTAATTAAAAATTTCGTATTTAACTATTTCTTGTTTGTCATTTTAAATTTGAGAAATAAATAATAAAGAAAATAAATTATTGGTTTCTTTAAAATTTTAACACCCAATTAATTGTTGGTTCTTTTAAAATTTTAACACCAAATATTATTAAGAAACGAAATTAAAAAAAAATTCAATGTTTAGAAAAAAAAAAAAAAAGGTGCAAGCCGTTTATTGTTCATGTGAATAGTAAACGGATGGGGGAGTCCAGCGGGTCTGGCAAAAAAAAAAAAAATTAATGAAAATTTAAAAAACAAAAAACAAAAATACTGTAGCAATGAACGAGTGATTAACATTGTTTATTGTTACAATGAAAAAACGTTTTTCTTTAATATATAGTATAATATGCTTATGCTATGAGAATCAATGATTTCATGATCACATAAAAAATTCATGTATAACTAGAAATTAAAATATACGTAATCACAAATTGATAGCTTGCTTGTTAAGCAAGTATCAATTTATAAGTCAAATTCAAGGTTTGTTTTTAATTATTAATATTTTTAAAAATTTATTCTCAAAATACTCGAAATCATATATTAGATAATGTCTTTTATATACACCGTAAAAAAAAAATTAGTTTCGAAATATTTGAAAACTAGTGATGAAATGTTTTTATTGTTGTACCTAAAAAAAACTAAAACATACATTGACATGGAAATCATGCATTATGCATATGACAAGGGTAGGTGTGGACTGAGGACACAAATTCTAGGCCAATATTGGAGGGATTGAAATCCATCTATGTGCATAAAAGTTAATTTGATTTAAGGCAAATAACTTGGTGGCTCCACCGAAGTGACGTGTAGGTCCCCGTAGCATGGAAAATTGCAAGACCTTGTCTAAAGTTATGGACTGATATACTCCGATTGCTAAGTTTTGCGACTCTATCAGCCGTCAAATGTTACACGCACACACAAAGTCTATTTTCCTGATATGGATTGTTGTCAGTGTTGATCTTATATTCAAACAGAAATGGTTAATTTACTGCTTGGTAAAAAATTATAGTCCTTGATAATTTTTTTGGAAAAATACCATATGCATATAATCATATGATATCGTTAATTCAATTAATTTCAATTAAGTAAAAGAGTTTATATATATATTTGAAAGTCGAGAGATTGTGATGGAAGATATTAATATTACGTTAGCTATTAGTCTATATTTAAAGATGGTTTGTCCGCTTGAACTTTATGTCCCTGTCATGGGCATGTATGCTATTTGCTAGACTTCATTAGAGCTAGTCTACTGCTTATTCAATTTATATATTAATTAAAAGAAGAAGTGCCAAAGGATCTCTAAACAAGGAGTAAATAAATCAACCTATGTTTTTTTTTTCTTTTTCTTCAATTTAGCAAGTGAGAATGCTTGTATCGGTCAAAAAGTGATGCTTTCGAAGAAATCAAAAGATCTAAGCTGGAAGGATAGCAAAGCTGTCAAGTCGCTTATCATCTTTCAAAAAGTAAGTAAAGAAGAAAAAACAAAAACGAAAAAAGAAGAAGAAGTACAAATAGTAATTTAGTAGTAAGAGCCTTGAATTTCTAATGAGGTTAGAATTTTATTTTTTATTATTTTTTGGGGCCATCATAAGACTTAAATTTGTTTTTTTCGATTAAAAAAATATGAGAAATTTGAAATTTTTAGTTTAAGGCCATTACATACCTCATCAAAAGTCAATAGCGATCTACGAGTGGTCTATTCCGAATAATAAAATAAAAACAAAAAAAATGTTTATTAAAGAACACAAATGCACTTTTATGATTGGGCTCCCATTTTGCAAAACTTGTCTTTTCCAGCGTACGTTCACACAGCTATTCCTTGGACACACAAATTGAATAGTATCAACAGAACAGGGAAATAACACATGAAAGGGTCTTTTCTTACCCCCCAACATAATAAATTTTATAATACATAAAAAAATAATTAATAATATATATAGTAATTATTTTTTAAATTTATTTTAAAAAAAGAGATAGATATAAATAAAAAAAAATTACATCCATATCAATAAAAAATAATAATAAATTTTTACATCTATTCAATTTTTTTAATTTTCTCTCTTATTTCTCTCCCTTTTTTTTTTGTATATATTTTTTTCTCAAAATAAATCTAAGAATTAATTATTATATATATCATTAATTATTTATTATATATTATAAAATTTCTCTCCCCAGTAGAGCCTGAATTTGTGAAAAAAGTGTGTCATGCAATTTAAATCAACCACCCAGCCCTACACCTCCCTAAATGTCAGTTGCTATCAAAACTAGAGTCCTTTGTAAACATTATTTTGGAGGCAATTCGTCTTTTTCGATACATACGATATTCCATGAAGCAAAATGCACTTCTCAGATCCCGATGTTTCAAAAAACCATGATAATGCGGTAATAATAAAGTGAAAGCATCTTGAAACTTCTAATCTCTCACTTTTGGAACCTTCGGGATTTGGATTCTTTACCTGATCAGAGAAACTCAGAAAAGGTAAAGAAAGAAAGAAGGAATCAATATCTTTCATATGATGCCAAATTATGTCATCTTGCATCTTTCTTTCTTTCTTTTTCTTCTTCTTCTTTTATTGTGTGCACATATGGTATTAGCATATTCCTTTATTTGATCATCACACAATGTGAATGCACATTAGATTGCATTCTTTATCTGCTCCCATTCACATTACTTTATCTTAAGCCAAATTAAGGAATAAATATTTAGACATTTAGCATATAGTATATAGATGATTAGACTGTCAAAATAATTAAGAAGGTAATTAAGTTGCATTGGCAAATAGAAACTGCTGCTGCTACATTTTAATTTTTTTTTAACTAGAACTCTCATGTTGAACCTACAGAACAGAACTCCATGGACCCACAATCTAGCAACTCCTGTATCATTTGCTCTATATGATGATCTTCAAGTGACTTGAAACGCTGCTGATGATCACCATTCTCCACTTTACTTTCCTCACCAACCCAATTCCCCTCCGGCCATTTCGAGACGGTTTCGACAGTTTTTCCGGCAATGCCATGGCTAGGGTGAAATGTGGTACAAGATGCTTGACGCGACTGCTTTGTTGCGTTTTTCTTGGTTCCTTGTAGAGATGCCATGTGACATTTATGTAGCTTGGCTGCCAAGGTAGCTGAGAGAAGCTTTGATGAAGATGATTGTGGCTCATTGGGATTGTAAGGGAAATTTGTTCGTGCTTTCGGCCCGCACATTAGCCTGGCTGCCTCATCGTAGGCTCGTGCCGCGTCCTCCGCCGTTTCGAATGTGCCTAGCCATATTCTAGTCTTCCTGCAGTCCATAAGATACACGAAACGTTTCTTTTAGTACAAGAATTCAGAACAGTTCCAAACTCGCTTGAAAAAAACTTTCATTAGTGAAGAAAAACAACATAAAACATCTGGGATTTGTGTGTTTTTGTGGAAAAAAACGTTTCTTTAAAATTTCTCTTGGACAGATAAAGAAACCTTTCTTTTGATAGTTAAAAAGAATGATTTAGAAACGTTTCAAGAGAGGGGAATTACAGGAGAGGATGGCGAATTTCGGACACCCAAGAACCCCAATGCCTTTGACGGACGCCACGGTATCGCTGTTGTGATCTAGTCATGGTGATCCAGGAAAGAAACGTTTCAAATGATTTAGAAGCCTGATACGTGTATGAGAAATGTTCCGAGAGAGAAGATTGTAAGAGCATGAGGAGAGGGATTGGGAGAGTCATGGAGATTTATATAGGAGCCTTTTGCGGCCTTGTGATCATCGATTTAGGCAGTGGGCCCATTAGGGTCGTAGCCCCATTTTATTTTTTTTCCCTTCCTCTCTTTTCGTTTAAAATCATCTTTCACAAGGGTAAAATATGTTGTATTTGGTAGATTTTTTAAGTAAAATCGTCACTATTTAATTAAATATTTTGGACCGCATATGGCTTATTTATGTTCATGGATGGATGAGTGACCCGATTACATACATAATTACCATTAGCCTAAATTATGTGCCCTCAATTACTGATTAATAATGCGGCCACGAACCTTCACAATGAACAATAATAATGGTAGTTATTTTTTTTGGCTTATTAAACTAATTACATCTATATATTTTGATACTTCTAGACCTGCCAAGCTTTTTATGCCAAAAATCGGGTGACTGTAGGTCTAATTAAAGAGGCAAGCGGAGCAATACTATACCTTTCCTTGTGCCCAAGTTTCTTCAGAATTACCTAAAAATCTACGCCCACAGGCGCTAGAGATGTAGGGGTGTGCGTTTTTAATGTGGTGGTTAGAGGACAAGGGTACGTGGCTCACGTCACATTTACTAAACATAGGAAACCCATCCATGACCTATCTGCAAGAGTAAGGTATAGACAGAAACCATGTTTCATGTAATTTTCAAGCCCATTTCCTTTCCTTTTCTCTCTCCCTCTCCTGGGCTTGTTGGCTAGCGGCTGCTATGTTTGACCGCAATAATTTTGTTGCATTAGGCAATCCAATTAGCGACGCAGAAAATCGATGCACATCAAATCTGTGCCCATCTGCATGCTTCACTCACGATCTACTATTTGTTAGGTCACACCCCACATGCAGATGCTATTTTTTGTTGTGGAAATGCCACTTAAATTGCCGGAGCAAGAGGCCAAATGCACGGTGGATGAATTTGAAGCTGAGATGATACCTTGCTTACATCATGTCTCTTCAGAATTTTCAAGATATATGATGGGCCATTTTGCATAGATTCGGGAGAAATGATTTTACTATGCTACGTAATGCTTATTTATTTATTGAATCCGAGAGGCCAAAAGGGGATTCTACATGCGAATTAATTGTGTTCCACATAAAGGGAATCCTATATGTAAGCATGCAAGGTTTAAGTGGCAGTGATTTTGATTTATCTCACATTGATCGCTCTGGTTTTAGAAAATGTAATTGGATCTTGAAATTTTGGATTTAAGATAAAGTTAATTCCTCCCTCTAATTCTATTATTTTTATTTATGAAAAGCCCATGGATTTTTAGACTACATGATAAAAGGTAATCTTTTTTCATTACATAATTACTAAAAAAATAGAGAATGGACTTGAATTTTTCTTTGGTAAAAAAGTTAATTATATATATAATTGCTAGATTAAGCTTGCTTGTAATCTCATTAATATATTTTAATTTTTTTGTTAAAAAATAAATTCTGATAATTAAAAAAAGAGCATTGATTGGTCGAAAAGTTTGACAATTGACCATTAATATATTTTGATTACTTTTTTTATTATTCATCAAAAGCTGAGTTTTAAGACTGCATAATAAAAGATAATTTTTTCCATTATATAATCACTAAAAAAAAATATAAAATCATTAATATTTGAATTTTTTTTTAAAAAAAAAGATTAATTGGATACACAATCATCATATTAAAGCTATTTACAATTCCATTAATGTGTGTATATATATATATATATATATATATATATATATATATATATATATATATATATATATATGTTAAAAATAAAATTCGGATGTTGAAAAACATGCATTGATTGGTTGAGAAGTTTGATTGCTGATCATCATTTTTCACGTAAGTTGGTAACCATATTGGACAAAGGGATAAAACTTTTTACCATTCCAAAATTCTAGGATTTAATTACTCCCTTTTTGCTATCACATTCATGGTTCAATATAATAGAAGGGAAATATTCAAAACCATATGGATCACTGCTGCCATTAAACCATATTTGCATGGATGTCATAATTAATCGTTGTAATTAATTAAGTTTGATTCCTTCAAAAGAATTCATGAATCATGAGTGCTAGCTAGCAAGATGTGATAGAATAAAATCCTATCAAAATCCTTGTGATATCTATATATGTAGACCTTGTTTATAAAGTATTTTAATTGATTTTTTCTTTTTCTTTTTATATTCATCCTTATCGAAGAACTCGTATATTAAAATATAGGGGTCGCTAAAAGCATTACAAATGACTTGTTAAACGTATAGCTCGCAGACTTTGTGCCCTTGGATGATTCTCTAGCTAGATATGAAGACATATACATATAAATATTGTTAGCCTTCATGATTCTACGCCTCCTAGCTTGTCTTCATGATCTAAAGTGTCTGTATGTATATACACACAGCTGCTATTGGTAAGTAGAAAAATCAACAACAAGGACAAACCCTATAAAGAAAATTGTTTCCAACCACTCTTTCTATGCAGGACATATATATAGTCGAATCAGCGTGATCAAGGTGATCTCTTTATGTTGCGAGCTTTTGGAACAAAAATTAAACAACCCAACATGCAAATCTACAAAAGAAAGAGATTGAACAAATTTGAATATAATTTCAACATCGATAACAGAACATTTCCACCTAAAGACTTGGAATTTTACAAGGCAACAAGCTTGAAAAGGCACTCAGTTCCTGACTTACAGAAAAAGGAAAGATAACGCGTGCTATGATAATCATACATAAGTCCAAAAAAAACAGAAAAAGGTGATATTTTCTATCAAGGGAACAACTCTCTTTTGTGTGTCCATTATAATTTATGTGTTCCTTCCTTCACATTTACTCAAGCAATGAAGACTTCTGCGATGCACTTGAATTGTAATCCTTCAGGCGATTACAAACCTTGATAAAAAAGCTGGATGGACGATCAGGGGACCCATCCCAATCTCTCGCTGGATTACACTAAAACCTTGAGCTTATTTTGCCCAATTAGATTGTTTATGTCGTTATTTTTCCTCTTTGTTATGATAAGTAAATTTGTTACTAATCCTTCCACTAGGTACAAAATTGATAAAGCAACAAATCATTTTTTTTATGCTTAACCAATCATTTAATATGTATGAAACCCTACTTTAGAAAAATCGAAGGAGACCTATAATTAATGATTTATCATTTGTTATACGTGTTTGTATAAAATTCTGCGTAACATTTTCTCAAATATTCATGATGTAGAACAATAGAGAAAAACAAGCTCAAGAGATCCACTAGAGATTTCTTGAATCCACCGGAGAGAGTAGAAGAACACCTAGCTAGAGATCCACTATATAGGACAGAAAACTTTTTGTAAATTTTTCAATATTATGTTTTTCTTATCAAACGGCCGACCAAAATGATGTTTAGGTGCCCTTAAATGGGTACCAAACCCTAATAGAATCCAATACAAAATAAATAGCCAAATAAAGTAATATAAACTCCAATATTTTCCTAGACAACAATGTAATAAAAATAACTAGAGAAAACTATTAATTAGCTAAACTAAATAAACGATTCTCTATCAATTCATACCAATTGGTCCATTCCCAAGACATTAATCGTTTTACCGAAATTCTTTCCTGGCTTTCAACTTTGATATAACGACAAAATAAGTTTAAGCCCCTCATCTTCAAAAAAATTATTGTTCCAGTTTCACAATTGTATAGCTGAAATTTCTGTTGTCTTCAAATTATCACTTAGATATTGGAGCTGACCATCGTAAGGGTCCCATCACACAAGACTTTGCTGTATTTCTGTTTACTGTTTAACCAGACAAATTGTAAACCCAAGGTACTATAGAACACAAATGATTTGCTGTTGATTTACTCCACAGGAGGAAATGAAGAAAGAATTTCATCGTAAACCTTTTTGTCAAATACAGAAGTATAGATCGAACCTTGGCTACAACACCAAAACTACCCACAAAAAGGTCACCAAACATTGACATGCACTACTACTATATAACAGCACCGCTTAATCAAAGGAACCTAAAACTAGGGAGGAAAACCATCCATCTACATCAACTCTCATCACTAGTCCAAACTTTCTCTATTGACAACTCATGTCTCGATTTTTTTAAAAAAAATTAAAAATACAAAAAGAAAACTGCCAATTTTCTCTATCCAGCATTTCAGAAACACTTCACCTTCTAGCAGTACCTCCAACCCTTGGCTTTCCTTTGACTTCGGTTTCCTACAGTTAAAAAGAACACCATTGCATTGCATGATCAAAGCCTTGCTCGTTTTACTATGGGAAGATTTAAGTAAAACTAGCACAAGATACAAACTCAAAATTAATCTAATTGAATGTATGTACCTGTGGTAAATGCAGATAAATATAGGTCTTCGCTGTTGTTGGGTTGTGATTTTCAGCACCCTTGCTCCAATCATAACACACCTACAGAAAACAGAATGAAAAATCTTAATGCCATTAAGCATGATTCTTAGGAAATCTTATCATTGCAGTTAGTTAATAAGACTTCTAGATACTCTCTCTTCAAAGAGACAATGATCATTTGAAAGGAATATAATCACAGGTTATAGAAAACAGGAAACTGGTGCATACCGAGTATGCAAAAATCGAGCCATCGTTATTGAATGTACTGCAGGGTATTGGTAGAGGGCAGCGTAACATGGCCTGAAAATCAGATAAAGATGTATTATATAATTGAATGCTTTTAACTTACAAAGATAAATGTGAAAGCCAACATTACTGCAAAATAACATAAAACTAATCTACCAAAAATAAACTACAAAATAGTCGAAATAAAAGATCTGGAGAATACCTTGAGTCTCTGTTTGCTATCCTTGTCCCAAAAATTAAAAGCACCATCGGATCCAGCAGTTGCAAATGTGTGATGCACCTGAAGTAACAAGATGGATACATGTTAAAAAGTAGGGATGGCCTAAAAAGCTTAAATTTTAAGGGTCAATAAACTAGTTTAGAAGTAACAGGTGTGCAAGAAAGAGATAATATGTTCAAAAGTAATACATGCACTGATAAGAAAAATCTCCTAACAATGAACCATTTCCATTGCAGTTCTCTTGGTACTAATATATGTGGCCAAGGAAACCAGTTATTTCTAAAAAAAACTGTACAATAAAATAAAGAAGAGTATGGAAAGCAAGGAGCAACAACATGCAAGGTAGAAAAAAAGGCCTGCATTAATATAGTATCACCATGGAGCTGTCACTATAGCTCAAGTCAAACTATGGTAGCTCTGCTAACACCTATAGAACTCGATCCTCCAGAATAGTTATGCACTTATACACGACAGAAGCAAGCGCATGATATATATATGAACATCACAAGAAGTATAGTTAATCTACATGTGGTTTCTGTATATGCCATAACAAGTTCATATTCCAAGCAATCAGGTGAGTATAGCTTTACTTCAACCAAGCACTCTTCTGGTTTAAAAAAGAAACAGAAGAAGTATTACAGTTCTATAAACTAATGTTGGTGATATGAAGATTTTCTCTAACAGAGCATTCTACCACACATATTTTAGTGACTGCAAAGTGACATCAAGAATGATAGCAGCAAAACTTACTGGGTGGAAGTTCAAGGAGTTGACTGAGTATATCTCATTGTTATCTCTGTGGCATTTGAAAGTGAAATTTTTACTTTGTTGAGCTTCATCAAGATGGTGTACACCAACCCTTCCTTCTATTGAACCGACCTATACAGAAACACGGCACACAATTCAGAGAATTAGCCACTATGATCAAAGAAATAGTCTTTGTAATACAAAACAAGAAACAAACCCATTTTTCATCATTAAGTATTTAGAGTCAGTAGATGAGTAAGGATTGCTAAAACAAGATAAAATATTTCAAAAGGAAAATGAAATGAGAATGAAATAGCACGGAATATCAATCAAATGCTCGTAAAAATATCATAAGCCCAACTAGGAAAACCAAATTTCAAACTATAAATTGAACTTGGCAACAAGAGAAACATATGCATAAAGACCAGGGAAAAAGACTGAGAGTTTTAAGTCTCCAGCAGCTCCATTTAACAGATAAAAAAAAAACAAACGCATACTATTTTGTCTATCCTTGCTGCAATTTATTATTAGCTTATTACATGAATCTTGAGAAATGAAGAAAGCTTGAGACATAAACAACCAAAGAAGACCCCTGCAAAGCGAGAAATTTATTTGTTTGTGCACATATGCCAGTGTGCTGGTGTGTAAATCTCAGGAACATTAATTGTGGTTGCCTCAGAAGAAAAAAAGAGGTAGAAAAGTGATAACGATTCATGATAAATGGCAGAAGTTGGGCCTTAAACCACTAAAGAACAGATTGAGGAATTTATGGTTCCACAGATTTGCCAGTGCGCTCTTTTGTGTATATTGCAAACATTAAGTCTAGTTGCTTGAAAAAAGAAATCAGAAAGATAAAAAAGCCAATATAAGTTAGCACATACCAAGAAGCCTTGTTGATCAGGAAAGGCAGCAACACATCTTGTCTGATACTTCAAGGGTGAAGGGATTTTCTTAAACTCAGTCTGTCGGCATTTAAGAAAATAAATAATTAGTGATTACTATAGAACAATAAAAGGCAGAGGATTGGAACCAAAACCAGTTCTTCAAACTAAAAATTGTTCCTTGTAATGATTTTGTCCTACTTTTTCTGGATTGGATATACAATAATGAGAGAAACATCATCTCATCCTTAATCGGTAGAGGACCCAAACATCCTTGAACTTTTAAATCCCCAAACAAAAGTCTAATTTCTGTTGTGCCAGTAAAATGTAAAAGCAGAAGTTAATAAGAGAAATCAAGCATTGATATAACAGGAACTTTTTAAAAAAAAACCTAAAGTCCCAGTCTAAAAGACGTTAGACGTCAGACAATTTATCAAAATTTTCTGTATGATCTCAACAGAAAGGAAAACAACAAGTACAAGAAAAATACTTTGAAATAAAATTAAAGAAACAGGACACAGCCTCACATTAAAGAATGATACTCACAGACACAGAGTTGCCTTGGTAAAGTAATAGGAATGAAAAAATGAAGAACGACAACAAAATAATGGCTCTGATAATCTTAAGAGGAGAGAGGAAAAACATTGATCAACAATGTTCCTGTGTAGTGTTAAACTGTAAGGCTTGGAAGGCACTGCAGCATTTTACATCCAGATTTTCTAGGAAAGTTTCTAATTAATATAATCCTATTTTTCTCAAAAAAAATAGTGGAAATGCATCTCAAAGCCACCACAGTATTCAATACCAATGTCCATGTGGTGATATAATTTTTCTTCAAAGAACCAAACAGAGATTACTAAATTTGTTGGAAAGAACACACTGTTCTCCCCACTTTATGCACTGCCATATAAAACCAAAACTCTGTACTTAGGTATCTACTGCTCTGGAGCTAGTCTAAAGCAGTACCAACATAGAGCTAAGGCATTTGAGAAAGAAGAAGAAAATGCCTAGACAAGCATCTGATAGGTTCCAGCTCACATGCTAAATCATGCCATTCAAAAGTTTGTAACTTAGACTGCTGCTATCATAATCACTAATATGAAAACACTAAGCCCCCCACATCGAACATTTATTTCTGGCAGAAAATTAAAAGCAGTATAAATTATGGGGCTGCAAAACCGCATTTCAGTAAAACAATTTAGAAATTCAGGATCATAAGAAATCATTACCTGAGGGTTATGCAAGTTATATACTATCATGTTTCTGTCTGCGGTGCCAACAACCATCAAAGGATACCGCACAGTCATTGCATAACAGCGCTCACCAAGTTGCTGAGTGTGCACTGGAGTTGACTGCCTTAAATCCCAGTACCTAAACACAGCCCAAAAAAAAAACATCAAAAAGTAGACAATGTAATTCTGTTATAAGCGTGAACGCCAAAGATGAAGAGTACAAGTTGAACTGTATATCAATAATATAAAAGTATCGCAAGAAATTACAAAATGTTGGGAGTTGGGACATCTCCCAAACCAGTTCACAAACCCTAGTCCGCTAATGATCACACATGCAATTTGGTGCACCTTCAAACTAAGCAAGCATATAATGTGGTCCCATTGAGAAAAGAAAGGATCAGCATGCATGATTGTGGTTCTTTTTGCTTTTTGTCATGTAGTAACACAACTAACAGAAAACTTGGATGCCTGATAATGGATCTTTCAAATTATAAACTTGTAAAGTGCCAAAACAGTATAACCAAAATGCTAAATTTGAGTTCAGCTCATTCAAAAGCTATTAAAAAAAAAGAACCAAACAATTGGTAAGAGAACAACATTTGCAATTCACCACTAGTCAGAACACCTAATGAGGTATTTAGACATCATGCAGAAAAACTGATGAAGTAAATTAGCAATAACATGAAGGAAGGAAGGAGAAAAAAAAAAAAGAATACTTCAAGGTTTTGTCCCAACTTCCTGTGGCTAAGCAGTTCATCTCTGGAATCCATGCAATCTCTTTGATAGGGGCATCATGCATCGCAACAGTTACTGGTTGACCACCAGAGAGCAAAGGCCACATCTTAACCTGCTTGTCACAACCTCCTGAAAAGACAGTTGTTCCATCATCCTTCCAAGTTGAGCACAACACCTTCAATATCAATATAAAGAAGGAAAAACAGAGTTACAATTACAGGGATTTAAGAATATCAGCATCAATAAATGGATTTGCAAATAAAAGGACTTGAACATTACCGGTTGGTCATGTGATATTGAAGCCTTGGGCACGCTGCCTACATTGGCCCCATTCCTTGAAATTTCCCAACATCGTACCTATAAAATTTTCAAGCAGCACATGTATGAATCCTAAATTTAAACCAACAATCGAAGTAAGTAGCAAACAAACTAAAAGAAAAAAGTAATGAAAAGTTGGAAAAGAAGAGGTCTCCCCAAAATAAAACGAACATCAAACATTAAAATATCAGAAAATAATTTTGTTAACCGAATTGCTTGCTTTTAACAAAACTCAATTTGTGAATCAACTCTCCTAGCAAGTTTTAAGAAGCATCAAAACAAGATAGTGAAACCTAAACCATTACACAAACCTGATTGTCCCAAGAAGTTGCAACTAAAAAGTTGGCTTTCGAACTGAAAGAGAGACTTGAAACCGAGTCGCTAGGAGGTTGTAACACCTGCATCCAATGATTTCAGGTCAACAAGTACATATAATGCATCAAACTAAAACTAGGCATAAAAGGAAAGAAAGAAAGAAAATAGTACTTAAATTGGAAAAATAATTACACATATGATAACAGCATTTCAATGAAATAGTACTCAGACTTAATTATTAAGCACAAATAAATGAGTCCTAATAATAAATATTTCAATGTGTCAAAACAGCTACATTACGCGTGAAATCTATTTTTTTTGCTACAATATTTTCGTTCTTAATACAATTCGTCAATTGAATTAAAAAAATACGAAAAATTAACTAAATACACAATCAACCTCAATTTTTTTTTTAAAAAAAAAAACGCTTCAAAAATGCAGTTATCGTTCTAAAAAAAAACAAGATAATCAGTTGGAAAAACCAGATTAGAAAGCGAATTTAGAACTAAAAACAATAATAGATAAAATAAAAAATTAGTTGAAGGAACTACCTCAATGGATTTATTAGGGTTTGTATTAGCCGTCGGGCCAGCACCAAAAGCAGACATTGCTATCTGCAAAATAAATATACAAATAAACAAACAAAAAGAATGAATTAGAAGCTAAACAAAAAAGTGAAGTTTAAAAGATGCAAAGAATCTGTAATGAACAGAAGAGAAGAACGGAAAACAATAAATAAATAAAGTACCAGAGAGAGAGAGAGAGATGCAGCAGCAGGGAAAAAAGGTGATGCAGAGTGACTTGTCGCTCTGTGACTGTTTCTGTATGTGCTTCAAATAGAGAGGGGCTAGTGGCGTTGTAGGGACGCTGAGGTGATCACTGAGCCAGTAGCGTCGGAGGACGCTGGACGGTGCCTTGGTTTAAACCTCAATGGAAGTGATATAATTATTTAAGTCCTAGATTTGAGCATGATTTTTAGGCTTAAGCCCAACTGAGAAATGCTTCGTTTGGGTTATGCTTTGAATCAGGTCCTTTAAGTTTCAGAATCAACCCTTTGATCCCCAGAGGAGTATAAATATGTTTTTAGCTTAGGTATTCATCCAGGCTCGTACACATTATCCACATAAATTCATATATACTATTCTTTTTATCATGCAGTGGTTTTTTTTATAATTTTTAAGCTTTTTTAAAGGTATTTATTAACAAAAATTCACAATATTATACTTTAGTCCCTTTTTTAAAATATTATTTTTTTTGTCCATAATTTTTTTATTTTATTTTAGTTCCTCTTTTTTGTTTTAATTTGATCATTTTGGTCTTTGCTTTTTTTATCTGATTTTTTTAACTAAAAAATTTTAAGGTAAAAAGATTTTTAAAAAAAATAATTTACAAATAAGTTTTTAGCTAAGAATTCATTCATTTTGACATTTTTCTTACATTGGTATAATTTTTTTAGTTGAAAATGTGGATAGAGATAAATAAATAATGTTTTTTAATAAAACAATTATGAAATATAAAAAATAATTAGTCAAATACAAAATTTTGATTAAAAAATTATAAAATTAAAAGAATTCTTATTCAATTTTAATTTGATATATTTTTATAAACATATAATATAACATGAGACATCAAATTGAAATAATTTCTTTTTAAATAATTTTATGTGTTTTGTATGTCATGGGTAAAAAAACTAGTTTAAACTAAATTAAAATCACATAGATTAAATTAATATTAATAAAATCAATTTAATTAATTTTTTTATATCAAATAAATTAAATTTAAATGTTTGTGTAATGTATTAAGTTTTGTCCTTCTAATTAGAAAAAAATATCAAGTTTTTAAAAATTATAAATTAAATTTAAATTATAACTTAATTAATCTTAAATAACAAATTACAAAATATTTAATATAGTATACAATATTATATAAATAAATAAATAAACTAAAATAAGTGAGGGTATAACTATTCATTTATGTAACTACACACTCAAAGTCCCTATTCATGCATATATTTTTTTTGCATCTTTGTCCCTCATTCTTTGAGAGATAAATTAATTAGTCATTTGGTTTGAAAACTAATTTTTTTTTATCATTTTCATAATTTTACTATTTTTATTTCTTCATTCACCATTTTAATATTTTTATTTTTTTATTTAAGAGATAAAACAAGTGAGGGTATAACTATTCATTTACCGTAACTACACACTCAAAGTCGCTATTTATGCATTGTTTTTGCATCTTGGTCTCTCATTCTTTGAAAGATAAATTAACTAGTCCATTTGGTTTGATAACTAATTTTTTTAGTCTTTTTCATCATTTTACTCTTTTTATTTTTTCTTTCACCATTTTAATATTTTTATTTTTTTATTTAAGAAATAGAAAAAAAATAATTATTTGGGGAATAAATTAATTAGTCCCTTTGGTTTGAAAATTAATTTTTTTTGTCCTTTTGGCCATTTCCGTTTACTATAGCGAGTTCCTCTCTCTTTTTTTTTTTTTTAACGTCGTACATTCTTTCAAATCTAATTATATATATTAACTTATTGACTCATGCATTGTTCTCCATTCTCCAATGAATAGAATTTGCAACATTCATTGTCTTGGAGGTAATATAATTTGTTGACTAATTTGTCCTCTTTTTCAACTATTAAATTATTTGTAGGACTATTATTATAGTTAATAATTATAATATATTATCGTTATATTTTATAAAAAAAATAGTAGTGTTTTTTTTTTTTGTTTTTTTTTTTTTTTACGTATGGCCTCTTTTTTTTTCAGTTTCTATATTCGTAGGACTATTATTATATGGTCAAATATATTATTTAGGTCCTTATTTATTAAAAATATATTTTTAAAAAAATAATAAAATTATTTATAGTTAATAATTATGATACATTATCATTATATTTTACAAAAAAATAAAAAAAATATTATAAAATTTTTATTTGTATTTTGATTGTGAATATTGTATTTATGCGGTGCTTTTTTATTTTATTTTTTTTTAACGTTTGGCCTCATTTTCTTTTCGGTTTCTATATCCGTAGGACTATTATTATATGGTAATATATATTATTTAGGTCCTTGTTTATTAGAAATATATTTTTTTAAAAATAATAAAATTATTTATAGTTAATAATTATAATATATTATTATTGTATTTTACAAAAAAAATCAAATTATTATTATAAAATAGTTATTTGTATTTTGTATTGTATTTATTATACAATATAATACTTTTTTATTATTTTATATTATGATATAAATAATATATTGATATATTATTTGATGAATTTGAATATATTTAAAAGCTGATAAGTATTTTAGTGATATAATATATTTGATAATTATACCATATAATTAAACTAATATGACATTGTATTGATTAAACATTATCTTAAATATATTGGCATAATAATATAATATTTATTAATAAATGATTTATTTAAATATTAGATGACAGTTATTCCCCTTTTATATAAATAATTTTTTTAAAATATTTTTTATCAAGAAATTAGGTGTGAAAATATAAAACAAGATTGTTATTTTTTTCTTTTACGTATAGTTTGATAGTAATAGAATATATATAATATTTTTAAAAATTTTAGTTTGAACATATATATCTGATTATATTATTTTTGTTATTTAAAATTTATTTCTTCAATTGTTTGTTTCTTATTAAAATTCTCATCGAATTTTATATGATTTTATTTGTTAATAAATTTGATTTTTTTATACATGGCTTTTGAAATAAAATTTTAGAACTTAATTGTTTTATTTTTTAAAAATATTTTATTATAATTTATATTATTGATTATTTTTATAATTTCTCAATGAAAAGGACGTTATTACATGTATAAATTCTGATGAGAAAAATGAGAGCTAGGAGTGTGTTTCGGATATTATAATTATTCTAAAAAAATTGAAAGAACTAGGGTTTTTCCCGTTTATTTACTTGTGACATTTTATTTATTTATTTATTTAGTGCTGGCTCGGCTCATTTTATTGTAGTTTTTTTTTTTTTTAGGGTTGGAGAAGCATTTCCCTTCTTTTTTTTTTTTTTTTTATAGGGTTGGTCTTGAGAAGCGAGGCTCGAGCGAGCTCGCACAAATAGTCTCAACCAGGTGTTTGCCTTGTTTTTTTTCCTTTTAATAATTTATTTTTATAGTTTTTATCATGAAATTAGGTGTGAAAATATAAAAAAGATCGTTATTTTATTTTTTATTTTTTCATACATTTTTTATGGTAATAGAATATATATAATATTTTTAAAACTTTTAGTTTAAACATATATATCTGATTATGTTATTTTTATTGTTTAAAATTTGTTTCTTCAATTGTTTGTTTCTTATTAAAATTCTCATAAAATTAATTTTTTAATTTTATATAATTTTGTTTGTTATTAAATTTGATTTTTTATATATGGATTTTGAAATAAAATTTTAAAACTTGATTGTTTTATTTTTTTAAATATATTATTATAATTTATCTGATTTTTTTTTATGATTTTTAAATGAGAGTAGTGTGATTGCATATATAAATTCGACGAGGAAGAGACACTAAAAGTGTGTTTTAGATAATTTTACTTATTTTTTTAAAAAATAATAATCGGTTAAAAAATTAATTTGACTCAGCTTTTTTTAAAATTAATATATACATACAAACCAGGCACGACCCCGGTTTTTTTTTCTTATAATTTATTTTATCTTTTTAAAAGTCTAGCCACAAATCCCATGATAGAACAAAAAAAGTTGGTTAATTGTTTTAAATCTTGATGTGTTTTAGAATTGGATCACCAAGAGACAAAAAGAAACCTTTAAGAGAATTTACATATTGTCATAACATAATTGGATCTCCGACAAATGATGTACAAGTTAAGCGGTCATATATAATTAGTCCCTTCACCGAGAAAGAAAACATATGTGTGTGTATATATATATATATATATTTATATATTATTGGTCCCTTTAATGTCCATAAACCAATATTAATTATATCTTTGACATTGATGTTAAACATACATACCTAATTATTTTATTCTTATTGTTTAAATTTTTTTATTCAATTATTTATTTCTTATTAAATTTCTCATTAAATCATTTTTTTTAATTTTTTGATTTGATTTTATTTGTCAATAAATTTGGTTTTTTATTATATGAATTTTGGAATAAAATTTTAAAACCTCAATATTTTATTTTTTAAAAATATATTATCATAATTTATACAATAAATTATTTTTTTATTTTTAAATGAGTACTATATATATATATATATATATATATATATATATATACATAGAGAGAGAGAGAGAGAGAGAGAGAGTTAAAAGTATGTTTTAGATGGTTTGGCTCAATTTTTTTTAAAAGAATAATAATGAGTTCAAAAAATTCATAAGTTTTATTTTCTTTTTTATATATATTTATTTAGAATTTATCAAAACCAATTTTGTTATAGTTTTTATTTTAATCTATTGACTTCAATATATTTCTTCAATTTAGATGTTTTTTTTCTATTTATTTTATATACTATGAATCGTTATATATATATATGTGTGTGTGTGTGTGTGTCATTAGTTTTGTTAGAAATTAACTATATATAGATTCGATCTATATTAATCACAAAAAAAAACTTTATATTTAAATTATATCATACGAATCGTTAAACTAATATATGTAACAATTGTCTATCCGAAGCATAGCGCGAATGTCCAACTATTATTTCCTAAAATGTTAATTTAAATTTTTAATATTAAAATATAGGATCGGTGGAACTGTTGCAGCAGTCCCAGGGTAGTAGCAATCCCTGTAGAAAGAAAGAGGGATAGAGCTGATTTCAAGGCAGAACTCATCTTGTTACATTTTATGGTGGTGATAGGGATATTCTTTCTCGAGGATTATTGTCTTTGTTTTGATGTTTCAAATATTGCGGAACGAATAGCCTTTATGTACAAGTTTGAATGGAATGGCATCCTTTCCTCTTCTTTAACGAATTGAAGGAGAAATGTTGGTCCTCTGCTTGATTTTTAGGTAGAGAGGAAGGAATTGATCATGGCTTTGGGTAGGGACTAATTGATTGATACTTCAGTCTGCACACGTATAAATATAGATGAACCAAACTTATAGGATTATAGATGGACCAAACATATACTTCTCCTGCTCCACTCGTGGCTTTGTGGCCAACATCTGACCCATGCATGAAGAGTTCAATCTTTTAATGTTAAACGAAACCATTAGTTTAAGCAAATGGATTTGGATTCAGAGCTTTATATATGTAGAATTTTTTTAAATGTTTATGCATGTTTTATATATCTGATAGTTTGGATATTTAGAATTGAAATATTTTAAAAATTTTTAAAAAATATTCTAGTTCTAAATTGTCAAATTTTTGCTAAGCATAATAAAATAAATAAGTTAAGAAAAATTCAAACTTCATTTTAAAATTAATACCTGCGAACATTTAAGAATTTAGAATTTAGAATTGAATTGTGTTTTGATTTTAATTTTTCGAACGAATTTGATACTTTTGTGATCGCTCAACCGGAAGGTTGGAATATTCAATGAAAGCTATTATGCATCAAATTGAATTCCATAATTAACCAATTAAATTATGACTACATTTAATTATCCAATGATTCTTTTGTATATGTGAACAACTGTATGTCTTTTTTTTTTTTTTTTTCTAGAGACATCATAATTAAATACATACATAGATGTGAATTTTAGTTAATCTTTTGTTTAAAGAAATTAACATTATAACCAGTTTTAAGATCACATAAAATGCCTCTTTCGTAAAACCCTCCTGAAAAAAACAAAAAAAAATAAAAAAATGAAAGGACATATTTGTCTCAAATGATTGTTCATGTCCTCGATTATCTCCCACCTATCAATAGCGCTTCGATTTAATCATCCGTCTATTCGAATTTTGATCGTTAAACCTTGTCACAATTGTATATTTTAGCAAAGGACATGTTTGTCACAAATGATTATTCATATCCTCGATTATCTTCCACCTATCAATAGGACTTCAATTTAATCATATATATATATATATATATATATAAAAGTATTTTTAAATTAATTTTTTATATATCTCGAGATTAATTTTTCTCACAACGTAGCTAAAAGATACTCTTTAATATATAGTATTAAATATTTTAAAAATAAATTCTCAAAAATATTTATCAGAAGAATTAAATTTTGAACCTGATTTATAAATTGATACTTATTTACCGAGATCCTAACACTTTATGATTAAAAATGATATAGTTTAACATTAAATACACATGTGATCAGCCGTGGAGGCCGGGACAGAAGGGGCCATTAGCAGCCCAGGGCCCAAAGTTTCTTCACAGCAAAGCCTAGAGATTAATTCAATACCTCTAAATCCCACCATTTCTTTTTGATGCGTTGATCGGTTAATTCAGCTGTTAAATTAGACTTAACGGGAGAAAATAAGAGTAACCCTACAAACTTCTATAATTTCAACGATGCCATTATGGAAAGATTCCGCATCATGCAATCATCTCCTCACTTCTCATGTTCTTCTTCGCTTGACCTCGTTTTCATTTTACTTTCTTTCTATAATCTCGAATTTTCGGTTTCTCATAGTTCTTTTTCTATATTTTATTATGGTTGTTATTTGTTTTTTTTTTCACGGGAAATAAAACAACCTTTTACATAACATAAGATATATGTCCGTTAATGTTGTCATTGCATATTGCTAAGGTTCTCCAATGAAAACCACTTTTTTTTTTTTTCTGCTTGTTTGGTCTTATGAAATTTTATTTATCTATGGTTCGTTCCTTTTCTCCTCGTGGGCTTTTATTCCCGTACATTTTTTTGAATTCAAATATATAAAATTAACTTCTTTTTTTAATCAGCCTTAATATATTATATGTTTATTCATACACACATATTACACGTATTTTGGTAAATTTTCTTTTATAAAATTAATAAATTTATATCCAGTGAAATTTTAAAATTTGGAGTCTTTTTTCTTTTTTACAAAATTTTGACGACAAATAGATAGATTTGAGTTTGCTTAAAGTCTTATAATTCTTTAAATGAGTTTAAGATATGGAAAACGAAAAATTACGAGCCCGAATTTTACACCAAAGTTTGGCTGGAAGAGTGATAGTCTCACAGTCCCATCTATGAGCATTAGTATCTTTCTTATGAGAGTAATATAATATTAAGATTATAATTTTCTACTAAGAAAATTTTAAAGAATTTATATTGTTTTTTTGTCTTGATTATAATGTTATAAATATCTTGGCTCTCGGATATTAAGATTAAATTACTTTTGGTAGGGTATTAACCAGGCCGGATTGACATTCTTATTGATTTGTCTAGTAAATAAATGCAATCATGGACCTGGACGCTCTTTTTGTTAAACCAACACTTATTAGTTCCATGAATAAACGGCATCGTTTTTGGTAGCAACCTCACTAGTTCCTAGCATTTTCATTTTTCCCCCTGTGTCCTTTTACTCTGCTCTCTCTGTGTAGCTCCGCTAGCCCGAGCAGATCCCTTCTTTTAAAACACAGTGGACCGGAACTGCCGGTTAACCTCCGCTTCCACACTAAAAACCCCATTTTCTTTCACTCTGCTACTTCACTTGCTCTCCTCCTGTCATGGCGTCTCCTTCTCTCCTCCCGGTTAAAGGTAGCTCTCCAATCTCATGAAAGCCTCTCTTGCTTTGGTTTTATTGTTTTCAGTATCCGGTACTCTATTTTGACAAACTGTGTCGCTTTCTGAGAAAAACAAGTTAGCTCAATATAGGGAAAATATGAACGCGTTTTACTTGTTTAAGGTGTCAATTGATGCTTTTCAGGTGATAAAAGAAAAAAAATAGAGTATTGGGTTTCATTTTATCCTTTTTTTTGCGATTAGGATCTATGGGGGTTTCTGTTTGAGATTGCATGTAACCTGTTTGATCATTTGCTTCTACTGGTTTTGTTCTTTAAATAAAAAAATAAAAAAAATCTAAAAACGTGTTTTATTATTTACTTCGCTATTGTATTCAAATTGACTAAGATTATGGTACCTTCGTAAAAATTATTCATTTTTTTTATTATTTTATCAGGGAATTCAAATGAATTTCGAAGTACAAGAAGCAATGTTTCTGTTGGTACTTCATGTGGACCGGATTTTGAAGTAGGAACTTTAAATTTAGAGAGCCAGTACAAGAAAAGAAGAATGTCTCTTGAAAATGAGTCACTGTGCCAGAATTTTGGAATGGTTGAAGCTTTATTACCCACATTGCGTTCAGCAGATTATTACGTCGAACCTTGTTTGATGGACTTGGCTGCTCGGGAACTCGTTGATCCTGGTTATTGCAGTCGGGTTCCAGATTTCACTATTGGAAGGTTTGGTTATGGACATGTTAAGTTTCTTGGGAAGACTGATGTTAGGAGTTTATGTTTAGATGATATTGTGAAGTTTAACAGACATGAAGTAGTTGTATATGAAGATGAAAATGCTAAGCCTGTGGTTGGTCAGGGCCTTAATAAGCCCGCCGAAGTAACTTTGACTTTCAAACTAGGATTGCCGGATTTTAACAAGGGGCAAATTAACGATGTTGCAGAGAAATTGAGGGGGAGTATGGAGAGACAGGGAGCTGGATTCATTTCATTCAATCCTGCAAATGGGGAATGGAAGTTCTTGGTTCGCCATTTTAGTAGATTTGGATTGAGTGATGATGATGAGGAAGATATAACAATGGGCGATGCATCAGAAGTTCAAGATCCTGTTGAGATGAAAGGTGGTGAGATTGTTGATATAGATGAAGAAGCCCCACCAGAGGTAGAACCTAATGGACCCATGCTTTATCATTCTCTTCCTGCACATCTTGGCCTTGACCCTGTAAGAATGAACGAAATGAGGACATGGATGTTTCCTGATGAGAAAGAAGAGGCGATTGAGGACTTGAGCGGTCCACACCAGAAATTGCCCAACAATAAAGAACAGATAAGATCTCCATTACGGAATTCCACTCAGAGGATGAGCCATAGAGCTAGTCCGCCTGTTATGAGGAAATCACCATTAGCATTGCTTGAGTACGATCCTGGCGGTTTCGATTCCAGCTCCTCTGGAACCATTCTGCTGGCCCAACAAAATAAGGGCCTGCCTTCAAAGATGATAAAGGGAGTGGGCTTTAAGCTGAACCTGAAGCATGAAACACCAACAAGTGGAAGCCATTCTCAGTACATTGTTGATGCAGGTTTATTCATGGGCCGTTCATTCCGTGTTGGTTGGGGCCCGAATGGAGTCCTTGTTCATTCTGGAGCTCCAGTTGGAAGTAATGATTCTCAGAGGTTTCTATCTTCTGTAATCCATGTAGAGAAGGTTGCACTTGACAAAGTGGTCAGGGATGAAAATAACAAATCCAGAAAGGAACTAGTCGACTCTGCATTTGAGTCACCTTTGAATCTCCACAAGGCAATAAACCATGAAACAAAAGAAGTTGAGGTGGGTTCCTTTAGACTGAAGCTTCAGAAAGTTGTTTCCAATCGCTTAATGCTTTCAGAAATCTGCCGGAGTTATATAGACATTGTTGAGAGGCAGCTGGAGGTTTCAGGGCTTTCATCCTCTGCGCGATTGGTTTTGATGCACCAAGTGATGATTTGGGAGTTGATAAAAGTACTTTTTTCTGAAAGGGAAAATAGTGGACAATCAAAATCTGTGGGTGCTGACAATGAGGAAGATATGATGCAGGATTTGAAGGATAGTTCTCTGGAAGTTGATCAGGAAGCACTTCCTCTTGTTCGGAGAGCAGAGTTCAGCTGTTGGCTGCAAGAAAGTGTTTGCCACCGTGTTCAAGATGAAGTGAGCTCCTTGGATGAATCCAGTTATCTTGAAAACATATTCTTACTTCTGACAGGAAGACAACTGGATGCAGCTGTGGAAATGGCTGCTTCTAGAGGAGATGTAAGACTGGCATGTTTGTTGAGTCAGGCTGGTGGATTGAATCGTGCTGACATTGCACAGCAGCTTGAACTTTGGAGGATAAATGGGCTGGACTTCAATTTCATTGAGAAGGAGAGGGTAAGAATTTATGAGTTGCTTTCTGGCAACATTCATGGTGCTTTGAAAGATTTTAAAATTGATTGGAAGAGGTTCTTAGGGTTACTGATGTGGTACCGACTGCCACCTCACACGCCATTGCCCCTCATTTTTCAAACATATCAGCGCCATTTTGTGGATGGCAGGGCTCCATATCCTCTCCCAATTTATATTGATGAAGGGCCAGTAGATGCAGATGTGCATTTTTCAGAGAAATACTTTGATCTGTCATACTATCTCATGCTTCTTCATGCCAATGGAGAGGGTAAATTTAGCTCTTTGAAGACCATGTTTAGTGGCTTCTCATCTACGCATGATCCACTCGACTATCACATGATCTGGCATCAGCGAGCAGTGTTAGAAGCAGTGGGGATTTTCACTTCCAACGATCTTCAAGTTCTTGACATGGGTCTTGTTTCTCAGCTGTTGTGTACTGGGCAATGCCATTGGGCCATATATGTGGTCCTTCACATGCCTCAGCGTGATGATTATCCATATCTCCATGCTACTGTTATCCGAGAAATTTTGTTTCAATACTGTGAAACATGGTGTTCAGATGAATCACAACGACAATTTATTGAGAACCTTGACATTCCATTATCGTGGTTGCATGAAGCTATGGTATGCTTTTGATCCTTGCACAGTTCTATTTGTGTTGTCATTGCATATATCAGCATATATCTTTGATGTGACAACTGGTTTCATACATGGACACATGTACTACACTGGTAACAATTCATTAAAATCCTCAAAAGGAGGTTGCCCTTTATGAAGTCAAGTCTGATTTCCATATTTCATTCCCTCAAAAGCCTTTTATTTCCCTCTCTGTCTCTTTCCACACACACCATGTCAAACATCAACATGTATCTTTGCAGGAGCAAAATTTTTCCTGCACCTGCTAACTTAACGAGCATCAGAATTTCTGAACGAACTTGTCATGTAGTGATACAATATCAGTTGTCTTCTGTTTTCTTTTTAGCATTTATGACATCAACGGATATAAACATACTTTCTGCATTACCCATGTTGTGATATCAAGGACCAGTGTTGATTGACCAATTTTTAAATTGAACGGTTTATTGGAACTATTAGCAAACTTTTTATCTATCTGTTTCCACTTTTGCGAGGAATACCAAAATGAATTTCTTATCCTTTATAAAACATCTTTTTATGCTTGTCCTGGTTGACACATTACATTCTATGCCATGCAGGCAGTTTATTCCAGCTACAATGGGGATCTCTCAAAGGCCCTTGAACACTATCTTGAATGTGCAAATTGGCAAAAGGCTCATTCTATTTTTGTAACTTCAGTTGCTTATAAATTATTTTTGTCAGGTATAAGCTTTTGTCTTTATAATATTAAGTAACACATGCTTCATTTATCTTATCTTGATGTTGTCTACTCCTGATAGGAATCAACTATTTGGAAGCCCCCATCCTACCTTTAAAAGAAAGAAACCTATTTCTTCTTTTTGGGCTATACGTAAATTGTTTGTAAACAGATTCCTATAGGCTATAGCCCAAAGCTAAGAAATTATGTAACTTTTGGTCTACATGTAATTTTCTTTTCATACTCAATTTGATGCAGCTGATCACTCAGAGATATGGAGGCTTGCAATTGCAATGGAAGATCATAAATCTGAAATTGAAAATTGGGACTTGGGAGCTGGAATTTACATATCATTCTATTTGATAAGAAGTTCGTTGCAAGATGCTACCAATACCATGACTGAACTGGTAAGAAAACTTGTCATGGATATTAATGCTATAGCTCTTAGCATGCATGCATTCTATGCATCATTATCAACATTCAAAGTAGGCATTGCTTAATCAATCGGACTCTATTCCTTACTTGAGCTGTGTTGATGTCATGAATTGTAAATGACAGCTGCCTTCAATGTTTTGATTCGAAGTTAAATTCAAGCCCATTTAGTTCAATACGCATGGGTTTCTTACAGAATTATGTTTAGTGCATGTGTCAATGCCATGCTTTTCTGAAATTCTGAAGGTAGGACTTTTAATCGGAGATTTTCTTTGTTGGGGAACCACAGAACCACAACCCCCAACACCCCCCCCTCCAAACACACACACACACAAAACACAGGGGTGGTTGTCTGATTGATAATAAACTTTCTTTTCCCCCTGAATATGCATTTTAACGAAACTGGTGTTTATCTGTGTTTTTGGTTAATGGAAACTAATGGCTTGTTTAGTTTGAGTTGGTATTGTATCTTTTTTTTGGCTTGCTACCCCAGATCAAGCCTCCTTGTTGTCTGCTATATTTGAGTACTCGTGAACACATACTGTCTTTTGCAGGATTCTCTTGAGAGCAAAAATTCTGCCTGCAGAGACTTCCTTAGTCATCTTAATGAATCTTTGGCAGTTTTGCATGACCGA